CTGATCCTGAATGGGGTGAGGAAATGTAGTGCCAAAGAAAAGAGCCATCTTACGGCAAGATAAAGCAGTGAAAATGTTCTTAATATTGCGTGCACTTAAACTGATATTGATGTTTAAGGTGTTTTTTTTAAATATTTTTTGCCGACCCTGTGTTCAGCAATCATTGGTCTGCTTCCCTGTGGGGACACTTCTCTAAACTGGATCCATCTGTCTACTGCAGGTAATGCAATGACAATGGATAAGTACCTTGTTCAACCCCACTTCAAAAAACCCGAACTATCCCTTTAAGACAGATAAACTGGCCAAGCAGATATATCAGCCGATATAGGCTTATTGCAGATATACTGCTTTTAGATGTGTGTACCTAATAAACTACAAACTGAGTTGTACACATACATGTACTGTATGCACACCACACTGCACTGAGGCTAGTCTAGGCCAGCCTGACAAGCTCTTTCAGTCTCCAACCACACTTTACATTAATTCAGTTCCCATGGTAAAACCAACATTGCATGTTCTATTTAAAACCTTTAACTACATTCTCACCACAATTAGGTAATCTCTGATAAGCCGCCTTTTAACAACCGACTGGAATCAATTAAATCTTTAGGTTAGACAGCCATAAATGTGTCAGTGGTCAAGTGATGATTAAAGTTAAGGGGCCAATCACAGGTCAATTTAAGATTTATTTCCATGTTGAAAGGAACAATGGCTGCCCCCCTTCCCAAAATAAACCCATTAGACCGGCAGATGACTTTCCACAGCCCCTAACAGAATTAAACTCATGAAGCTAGTGTGAGACTTAACATGAGTGACCAGTTAAAAACAAGCCTTACGGTATGTGTATCAAAGCACTCTGAGGTGGGGAACTGCCCTGGTGGCCAATTAGCCACAGTCTGGATGCCATTTAGCCTACATTTGCACTTGACAATGAACCCTTGAGCCCTAGCAACAATGCAACAGTAAACCTCAATAAATTTGTGGCAGACCTTGCTCATATTCCATGGCTCATGGAACTGTTCTGCTGTAAAAGGTTTATTTGTGGGACATGTGGCCTCTCATCATCCAACTGGAGTATTTAAGTCCCTTTCATCCCGCATGCAGTGTGGTTTAACTGTTGAAAGGACTTTTCTCAATAATCACTAAGGTTTGAAGGATTTCTTCATTACTGTTGCTGTAGTATTCCATGTTCGAGCGGATACACCTTGTGAAAGGCGGCGTGCAGGCAGTTCAGCAGCGTCAGAGCTCAGATTTTTGGGAGGATGTCAAAGAGGCCCCTTAGTACTTTTCTAGGGGGGCAGTGCTAGGGGGACACAACACAATACTGTGAAAATGTGTGACGTATTATTTAAGACATATGAGTACTATTTTTTAAATAAATTATATCCTCAAATGAATGAAAAAACAAGGTAAGTAGTCCCCTTTTGTCAGGATTCATTGTGCTACTGAAAAATATTTCAGCATTATTTTTACTCAAACGTAACTTCTATCTATCCATCTATCTATCTATCTATCTATCTATCTATCATCCATCTATCTTCTATAATCCAATCAATTTACTCTAGTTCATATTTAGTGATAATTACATTTATTTTTTTACACAATTTTTTTATTACTCTAATCATTACATTCAAAAGTTGCTTTATATTTACAAATAACTGCCACAGATGTTTTCACTAATAGTAATTATGACCGACCAGATATGTCATCTAAAGTAATTATGTTGACAGCTTTCAGTTTCTGATGAGCTAATGTTAGTTCATGTCTCACAGAATAATGCTCTTGATCAGGGTGATTCAAAAGTGAGTGTGATGTACCTAAAGCAGGATATAACTGGGGGGGGGCTCTGACTATTGTTTATTATCGGTTAGCCTTAGCTTTTGGTCGGTACTCAACTGCTCTCTAGCTACAACGTACAGGGCTGTAACATTGTGGATGTTTACTGACTTTGTGAACAGCAGAAAAAAAACAAACACATCATCCTTGATAAGTATTAAAATAACGAAATGAGTAGAATATCATTCCCTGAAAAACATCTTCGGCAGGGACTGACACTGCTTGCGATTTACCAGGTTAACACTTTCATCTTGTAGGTTGGATAACTCACAAAAAAAAAAAGTTGATACAGCCTATAAAATCTAAGTATAAGAAACTGCTTACAGCTTTGATTCTGCCCTTGATTATATGCTGGATATTTAGGCACACGCAGTGACAGGATATTTTATGTTTTAAGCCTTAAACCCTGGTTCAGTGGTGGTTTAATTTGCTTAAAAACTAAAACATTTATAAGAATAAGATTTCCAGCTTGAAAACCGTACCATGTAGGGTTGATTATGCGCATGTTTATGTGCATGTTTTTGTCCTGTCATTTTTTTCCTTCATTTTGCAACAGCAATACATTTCTCTGTATAAACAGTAACATGGGTAAGTAACCTACTCAAGGCCTGGTGACAGCAGGGAAAAACACAAGGCTAAACAGAGCAGCTAATGATACCCTTGGCCGGCTGTAAACAAGAGCGATGTGTTGCTGAGACATCATGAATTCAAGCAGCCACTGACAGGGGACCTAAAATTAGCCTAATGTTTACCCCTGCTGGATAACAAAGACTAGAAACATATTGCTAGTGAGGGCCGCTCCCCGTGGATTTTAACCATTAAAAGAAATGTAAGCGTAGCATACAGTAATATTTTTACTTGTCATTAAATCAGCACAATCTTATCTTTTGGTTCTTTAACTACATGTTGTACAAGCCACCAAAAAGATTCTGCAGACACCTGGTCCATTTGTTTTAAGAGGATTCTTTCTAAATTAACACGGCCAGCGCTGATGGGAAAAAACTTCCCAGGGGAAATTTATGGAATTGCTTGGAATTCAGCATTTTCAGAGTTAGAGGGGGTTGTACTTACTGAAAACGTACAGGAAAGAGTAGTGAGTAGGAGAGGAGGATTTCAGGCAGGGAGACAGACAAGGAGGATTATGAAAGCATGAACGGCAAAACGCAGCAGAAATACATGTGAGAAAAATAAACAGGCAATGGGGCTGCCAAGCACTGGCTCAGCAGAGGTACTTCCCCTTATGTGCACAGCTGGATTTGTGAGACGGTGAGCAATACTCCCCTCTCTTCTCCCAGACTCTGACACAAGCAGGGGAATTTAGAGGCTACATGCTAGGCTGCTTCAAAAATAGCACTGGATAACTGCATGGTGGTAGCTTAACAACAACAACAACAAGAAGGAGGAAGTACTCAATAGAAAACTGATCTCCATCAAGGTCTGATAATCTTCCTAGTCAACACCGTACTGAGTCAATGACGGCCAACAGACATTCATTTCCTAGTCCTAGTACAAGGTCATTTCATTGATTTAGAACTAATTGGATTAAAAACTTTTGCTGGAACAAACTAAATGATTGGCGTGTAAATAACCAGGAACACCATATGCTGATGTTTCCAGTGTATGGGAGCACTGCACAAGGGCAGTTTTGTTCTTTGTATGGTGCAAGATGCAACACTGGCAAGACAGCGAGGTGAGAGAGCTTCTCCTGATTCGTCTGCGTTGAGTAAGGAAGAGAGACTGAAGTAAAGGATATACAAAGTAACCACTGTAACATGGTCATTGGCCTCCATGGCTGCTTTCTACTGTTCACTAACGCAATTTTCTGGCATGATGCAGGTCGCCACAGCAACGACTCAACCTTGGTACATGGGGTGCCAGCTCTACCAGGAAAGCTCTCTGGGCACCCCCACATCCATTAACCCTAAAGCACATTTTAATTGTCTCTCCATATCTGAACCACCTTTTACTTCCCATAACCAAGATCCTTTCCCCAGCCATAACCATACAGTCATTGCACAAACAAAAACAAATAAAAGCTTTAGTACCAAGGAAAGTGTTTTCTGTGACTTTGCTGGAAGTTATTCCTTCCTGTTGTGCTGACGTTACTTGTTGGCTTAAAAAGTGTTTTAAGTTCACAACCAGTTCCACTGTGAACAGATTTTAGAATGCCTTTGTAAAGTAAACCATTTGGGAAAATGACCAGAAAATTTACATTTTCCAGTTTTTTCTGCAGAATCGGACCACTCAGATGACTGATCAGGACTGAAAATTAGGTGTGGTTAAAACATGCAAGCAGATTATCTGGAATTTATGGTCGTGTTGTAACCGCTTTCTGTGGTGCAGCAGCTTGTATTAATATATAAACATTGAAACCGCACCCCATCTGAAACTAGACAGTGCTGATGCAATCAGTCCTTGAAAACCAGTTCTCATACTAGACATACAATTATTATTTGCAAAGTCTTCATACTTTTATCTCGCCGTTCTCGGGTTAAAGTCACAATAAACTTCAACATTAGAAACAACTTCTTTGGAAACAAACTTTAGGGAAAAGTTGATGTTTAAAAGTTATAATTATACAAATACCATAAATTTCCCCCCCAGGTAAATTTCCTGGAAGCCATTACTGTGAACCTCATAATCTGTTTAATCAACCGTCGTTAATGTCAATCATCTGAGTGCTGGGTAATCTATAGCGGCTTTATTACAGGGTTGGTAAACATACATGTTGTACAAAAACGAGTGCAGTCCCTTTATCCTGTTTAGACTAGCGTGCTAGTGAAGCGTGGCTTCTCATAGATGGTCACATTTGCAGATAAGCAGTAAGTTAAAACAGAGTTCATGGCATAATGAAATACAACTGCCAATTATTGCAACATTCCCAGCTAACATCGGCACACACCCATGGTGGCACCCATAGAGTGTTAGTTCGGTTTTACAAAGGGTGTATATGGCACTGATTCAACTCCCTCTGGCTACTGGGATCACGGAAGTTGTGATCAATTCAACACATCTGTATGATGTTTTTTCTTGTGCAGCAGAGTAATAAAATAAAGCACATATTCACTGGAAAGTAAACCACATTTTGAATGCAACAAATTAGCATTTTAGTCTTCTAGAAAAAACTTGAAATGAATGATTCTCAAATGAGTGGAGGTACTCACTGGTAGCTCTGTGGGTTCAGGGAGAAACTCGGCGTCTTCTCCAAAAATAAAATCTGGTGGCAATTCTGGATACTGTGCATTGAATATGATATCCCCTGGGAGAAAAGAAGGGAGACTGATTACCTGATGGGTGACACAAATGTGGACAATATAAATTCCAAAAATGTACTTGCTTGCGTTTTATTGTGTGCTATAAAATGACCACAACGGGTCCATTATGCAACTTTTAGAAGTGTACATCAGTGCACAGACACTGAGAATGGACTTTACAGTGAAGTAGGAGACATCTTGTGTCCAGCAGCAAAACTTTAGAAATGAACAACATTTACATATTCAGAGATTCTGGAAGTTTTAATGAGGTAGAAGGAGGAGATACCTTTTTAAGGATTATAATGTGGAAATTATACTTTTTCTTGCTTAAAGAACATCATCAGACACACATTATTGTTCCAGGCAGAGTATTTGTGTTACGACATGTCGTAATACATGTCTGGAGGGGATCTTTAATATTAGTGTGGCAATCTGCTTTATTCTGAAACTAGGGGAACTGCAGTGGCAACAATTTGGCATTATCTCAACCAAGTCAGTGTTGAATCTGAATCTGACATGCAATGGCTTGTTAAGGCAGCTGGATTTTTTTCCCCAGTGGCTGCCTTAACAAGCGCATGATATGCAGCTGTTGAGCTCTGGGGTCTTTTTAATTTGAGTACCTACGGTAATGAGCAAACTTGACATTTACCACTGAAGCCACTCAAATCCTGCCAAACAGGTCTGTCTTGTAAAGATAATTGCATAGGTATTTTGAATATAGCACGCATAAAGCAATTCTAAAATACAGTTTGGTTTGAAGTTTATATATTCAAAATCTGAAAGAAGTTAACCAAAATGTGCTTAGATACTGCAATTACAAAGAGATACGATACAAATTAAAACTAGGGATTGAATGGCCCTCACTGAAGGACAAGACATAATAACACGAACACATAACACATTGCTGGGGCTGGTTCACAATGTTCTGATATTAAGTTACACAATTCTATTTGTGTGCTGCAAGACTGTTCTGTTCTGCTTTTTTCTCTCCAGCTCCAGCTAGAAGAGACAAACTTACACATATGGAAGTATTTTTCCACTGGAGAAGAGTCAAACAAGAAGAGGAGAGGATGTGCTGTAAATCTGTTACAAACCACTGAAGTCTGTCAGGGATGTGCTGGCATGGTTCCAGGGGGAAATGGAGGTCTTGGAAGTGCAGCCTTTACAGGTTACAACATAGGCTTTTATATATTGCTTTGTTCACACAGCCTGAGACAGCAATGAAGAAGCCTCACTCAAAAAGCGTGGACTAGTCACTGTAGAACGTGCCTTCTCAAAGTCTTACCTCTGTTTCAGCCAGAGGTCACAATGGTGTGATATGTACAACAACAAAGGCCACAAATTGTTGTTTATCAGTACCAGCCAGGAAGGTGAAGTGAGGGGGGGGCTGGGCTTGCATTAATAGTGCTCAGAGTGTGCCATGCTTTTGCACGCTATCGGTAGGCAGGTCCGTAGACTGGCAGACACCAACCTGCAGCCCTGCATCCTTCATTAAACAAACCTTCTTCCTCAGGCCAAAGCACAGGAAGGCGCAGCATCTAGTAAAACAGCTACAGAGAGGTCGCGTGCCACGCCAGAGTGCCACTGGCTTGTTTTTGGTGAGGGGGGCTCAGGTTGCAGCTCTCATGTCTCCTTGAATCAAAGACTTCTTTCTTCCTAAACTATGACAGATATAGGGTACAGTGTAAACTGTACATAGCTTATATCAACTTACAGGTAAAGATAGGGCTCTATCACATTATAAAAACTCAATTTCCACACTGAGGTACTTTTTACAACTGTGTTGCATATTCTGAAACCTTATAGCTACACATTCCTCGAATCTAGCGTCAACATCTTGACATAGGTCAAAAATTTTTGCCTAGACAAATTCGTAGAAAATTTTGCAAAATCAGCAAAACTTACTTCCCCTGACTAGACGAAGAAGAAGTATTCCCCCCACAAAGCAAGGTCACATCTGAACCACATTTTACAGATGGCCGAATATAACTTGAGGAACGTAGCATGTCAGAATGTTCCCAAACCGCAGACTCAGTCCCCATCAACTGTAGCTAAAAGACATATTCTTATTTATTGTTTTGATCTGTACATTAACAGGCTGCTTTTTTTGCATTTGGAAACCATCTTAAATGTGTCAGCATCTGTTCAAAGGACTTCTCTGTAACTCATCAGCCACAAAAAACCTGTTTCCCAACACAGCTGATAGATCTGGCACGCACCGCCTACTGTATCTTTGAAGGGTTGAGAATCTGGAGATTTTCATAAGTGAGAATATGTGAAATATTTACCCTGATAATTATCTACCATTGCAATAATTATTTTGAAGTCATCCGCTGAATCAGTTCAGCACATTTGTTTCATGAAGCTTCCTTTAAGGTTTGAGGTTTGGTAGACCCCCACAGCACAGTCAGCAAATACTTTGCAATTAATTTTTTTACTTCTTTGGTGACAAACCAATGCCCACGTGAAATGACATAGTGACTGATAGTACAGGACATGTGTTCACACTGGCCTGACATGGGTCTTGTGAGTCACCATAATTCCAGTAAGTAGTGAAATCTTTCTTAACCATGGTTATAATCACGTAACAACTTTCAGTGATGTTGCCCATTGGGGCAGTTTAGGAAGCTCTGATGTGGCCACTTGATTCAGAAGGGAGAGACCCTTCCAGTAAAAGTTCAGTGGCAGAAACGACAGCATGTTTTCAGCTATCACTTCAGTGATTAAGCATCACCATAATCGGAAAAATATTCATCTTGTTTTTGTACTTCAGGAATTCCTGTGGGTGCTTTTGGTCTTACTGTTTGCTTAGAAACAGCAGTTACAAAACACTCCTATGGTAACGTTGGCTTCATTATGCTTCCTGTTCGGGTGACAGAATGTTTGCATGGCTTTTGAATTGACAGCCCTCTCTGTAGTCAACTGAAGATTCTGTCAGAATATTTCCCAGTGCTGGTTACTTTTAAACATTCTTAATAAAAGGTGTGCTGGACTGCTCGTTGCTCTAGACAATGATTCAGTTAACCTGAGTGCAGAGGGTAACCTGCAAACTGAAGTGCTGTCACATTTTAGAGTATAAAGCACAAACAAAGGGTTGAGAAAAAAAAGATAAAAATGGAATAAACTGTGCAATCAGCACGACTAAACTTCTAATTGCTCGTTAATTTGTGTTTGCTGTTAATTCATCTAAGAATATACTGATACATTACTAACAGAGGAGCCTGATTTTAAGACTAAAGAGCCTTAACTGACCCCTAGCTCTCCCCCAGCTCTGTATCTGAGACTGCTACTACTTTGTGACTTAATAAGGGAAAACCAATTCTGCTAATAGTTTCTCTGCACAAGTTTTTCTCAAAAGCCAACAACAACAACAACTAATCGACTCAAGACTCAAAAAATGTCACTGGCTACTTATCCAACCGACTAGTGTGTGAATCATTTGAAAATGACTCATTTACTTACATTTCAGGGTTTCCCCAGCATAGGGGATGTGCAGTTTGAAGCGATCACAGCAGGGACCCGGGGTCAGAGATGTACATCTGAACATGGAGGTTAATGAAAACAACAAAAGACATAATCAGTGTGATGTGATGTAATTTAAGATGGCTGGTATGGTTGCCATTAAAGCCACCATGTGGGTGAATCCCAATTTAAAATTTAAAATCAATAAATGTGGACTGCACTATTTTTTGCAGGACAACATACAGTAAAATAACATCATAATAATATTCTATAAAATGTTTACACATCAGTTAAAATATGGAAAAAAGCTAATTCCAGATATTGTTATGTAAATTGTAGAAGATTGTAAATACTGACAGTTTATTTATGAATAGTGATCAAATCCATGACTACTAGTGAAATACATCTAAATAGTTTTAGTTTAGGATGAGTAAATCTATCAAATCTACCCTCTCTTTGACGATAATCTCCTTCAACTTTACACAGTTTTCTCACTAATTCGCCCAAAAATACTAATTTGTCTTCAATAACAACCACCATTGTTAAAAGCAGACTTGATCACGTGTAGTTTGAAACAGAAGGAATTCATTTGTATAGCACATTTCATTATGAAGACCAATATCCCTTATAAAACCTCACTATGTATTCCACAACAGACAAAACAGGAACGAATTGTAATAAAGCTGTCATTGTCAATATCTTCAGTTATCATCCTGTATCTGTGCTAGGTCAAATAACTACATCTGTGATGGTGTTATATCTATCTATCTATCTATAAATATCTATCTCTTTAATAAAAAGTCAAAAGGTACAAGACTGTGCATTGTAAAAACCTAAAATCTCCCAAGGAGCCTTTTGGTGCGACGACTTCGGGTAAAATCCAATCACTGATCTTAAAGTGACGTTGCTTGCACTGCTACATGCAAGCTTGAGCTAAACTTACATTATACAGAACCCTAATAGTACATTTGACAGTTCCTTCTGGATATTAGGCCGATCGTACACGAATTCAGCAGCTCTACCAGAGCGTTCGCAACCAACTGAAAACTGAACTAGAAAATTGGAATCTATGACTATTGACCATGAACATAACATTAGCCTAAAGTATTATCCAGGAGACTCACTTGCTGTTACATTGAGGGACAGTTGCTGATAAATACCCCCCCCCCCAAAACAGCCACTACTCCAGCTGTATGTACATATATAAGTATTTTAAATGATTTCATGTTTGCAGGCTTTGCCCAACATCTCCTCCATCCTCCTCACATCATTTGAACGCAGCATCACTGCAGAGAAGAGAGGCTGAGTGGACCCCATGTTTTACATTATGGTCCAAAAAAACCACCCCTCACCCAGTTTTGAGGTCTGTCACACGGAGACAGTTTGTGGAGTCGAGTCCTACACGGCCGTTCCGCACAACGCTGCACAGCAAGGGCCGCAACTCAGGTGAGATCCGGTTGAGTGCAACCTCAGGGGACATGTTGTTCATTTTAACCACTCCGAGGAGTCTGTGGAGACACAACAACACGGAAATGCTTCAACATCAGTTCCCAAGACAGTAACGTTAGTTTGTAGTAGGCAAAAATCGGCGTTTTCTGTGAAGCTTGAAAAGGACGTGAGCTAACAGCACGTAGGTCACTCAGCTGTCATTTCCTGCTGTCATGGAACATTTGGTGTGCGCGTCAGAATCGGTTTCCTAATCTACGAACCTGAGCTGCGGAGGATGTCGTAGAAAATGTGCTTTTAAAAGTGGAACAGGCGGGCTGACAACACATGTTCATCCACCTTAATGTTCCTGGAAGTTACATGATGGTACAACCGTGTGCCCCCCCCCCACCTCCCCTCTCTCTATGATCTGCCCTGAAGACTGGCCACATTACATGGGAAACACACAGTACTCAGCGGGTGTCTTCGTCCTTCGGTCCGGCTGTGGGGAATCCGTCTGTACGTCCGAGTTACTGTCAGGATGTGACTTACTGTATTAGCCGATGTTAGCTTACCACAGAATGGAGCATCAAATTGCTCCGTTTTAAACGACGAGCTTACTGGAAAAATAACCTTTTAATTATTTCCCAGTTAGATAGAACATGCGGTGTGAGCTGGAGTACCTGAACGAGCTGGAAGTCGGATAATTTAAGCGTTAACGCTAATGTTTACTTCATGCTCTCAACATTTCCGGTACATGTTGTTTGGGTCCTCTTAACAGCCCCACGGTCAGCTGTCTCTTATAATGCCTGTTTACACAAGGAGTGCTTTCACTCCGGGAGCCACCTTTCTCTGTGATATATGACGCATAAAGCATGATTTGTGGGGCACAATCATACTTAAACTATCTGAAGCGTCATTAAAGGCGCGCGTACGGATTTAATGGCCAATATGCGTCTGGCATTAGCTACGTTAGGCAGCTGGCATTTTCGCACTCGGACCGTCACCTGTGTCAGAGAGCGTCTAGGTGTTGTCCACTCTGCTAGAGCACATTTGAATGCAAGGTAATTATTATTGTGTCAACAACAGTTCGTCTCAAGACACTTTATTTGACTCTGACATTCGTCTCATTTTGCTGGGTGTTACTTCCTTTGAGTATTCCCCGGTGCTCCCTGTCTGTCCGGAGTTGGACAGTATGTTTGTTGCTTTAACGTTAGCTTCATTTTTCCGTTGTGTGACGCTGTGACGTTTATGTGACATCAGACGTCACGCGTTTGCACCATAAGGACTCATACAGCACACTGTACAGTACAGCCAATACTACATGGTGCTTCAGTTGACCATGAAAGCTATTAACATAACATTGGGCTCTGTGTTTTACAGGTTAATCCATAAACGAGTTAACACAGCATTAGTCATATAAGCATTGTTATATCTGTTTGTAATACTTAAGGAAGTATTTAAGCACCCACTTTAATTACTTAAGTTCCTGATATTCATGCTCATATACATACATGTCTGTATAACATATAGAAATGAAACTACACTGCATGACTTAAAGCTGTATTGGTACTGTTAGATTTCCCTTCTTTGGAGTTCTATGGAAAGGTTTATTTATTTAACCAAAAGAGATCTTATTGCACCACCACATTACAGACCTGAGGGCTGGAAGGCTGTGTGGTGTTTATCTTCCTGTATTTATCGTAGCCCATCCAAAATAAAACTCCTCACAGACTGGAAACACATTCAAGGTGTTATAGGAAGTGACACCTGAAATGTGTTTGTCTTGTACAAATAGAACCAATCTAACTAGTTAAATAAAAATGAAAAAAGTAGTACAAACTAATAGATCATACAGGTTACATCAGTACTGATTCACAACTGGGAAATTCCACATTCATGTGGAATATTTCAGTATCCATTAGAAAACAACTGTACTTCATTCTGCTGTCCTGTGTTGTATAATGACAAATCTAGCTCTTACTGGTGTAATTCATTCAATGACATGAGAGCTTGTCTTATTAGTTCAGCTACTTTTGTCTTTTGAGTATTCTTAAATTGTTACTGTTGTAAAAAAAATGACCCTGCAAATATATAAAAAAAGCCTTTTCTGTTAGTGTTTGGGGGAGTGGGGGTGATTATAGTCATCATCTGAACTTCTAAAAAGCGTTTTTTTAAACATAAATGGTTGTATCATTGTAATAACAATCATCATGCAGTTAAGTCTTGACTGCCAGAGCAGAAATAGACAAAATATGTAATCTAACAACTTACAAGCTTCCAAACATTCATAAATGGGTCCAACAACGTTTTCATTTGGATTCTGTTTACAGCTCAGTCTAAACTGTTAAACCCACTGTGTGCAACTTTGATTTGCATTTAGACTAAACCGTTTAAACGTATGACTGCAGTCTTTTGAAAGCACGCTTTGTTCAAGTCATCAAAACGTCAACTCTCAAATCATCTCTCAATTCATTCACTATGCACATATACTGTTTGACCAGGGGCTGAGTGGAGCCTTTTGTTAAGCTATATTATGAGTAATGGTTAAACACTTTTTGCATTCGGTTGTGTCTACAAGCATTTGTTCAGGTTGGTCAGCGACTATATGATAATATATAATATATAATATAATATATGATAATTCAGCCTTCAACTGAAAAAAAAAAAGAGAGAGGGAGAACTTTAAGAGAGTTCCTTGCTGCTGTTTGACAATGCAGATCTCACAATGTTCTCCTCCTGTGGAGGGTTCTAGGCTAGCTTTTCATGCCTGCCGAGAGGGAAGACAATATACTGAGATGTGGGAGAGAGAATTGAGCCGTCCTGCAGCCAGCGGCCAGGCTTTCCAAGTCTTCCACTGCCTAGGCAGAGATTTGAAGAGATTAACACAGTAGCATTAGCTCTGATACAAGCCGAGGATTGAATTAATTATAGACTTCACTGGGCTGCGGTGCATTCACGTGGTTAGCATTGAAACAACCCCCCCCCCCCCATTCCCTTACTCCACCCGCAATAAGACTGGAACCTGTCCAACTCAGCCAGCGATGAATGCTCTATTTTTACCTTCTTCCTTGTTTCATGCTAATGTGGTAGATAAATAATATCAAGTGATTTTTGTTTGGAAGCTGTCGGGAAACTAGTTTACATATTTTGCCTGATATGCCCCCGAGGAGTCCGCTAAGGCTTTAGATTTTGTCCTTGTTTATGAATAGCTTTTACTGGAAAGGCTGGGCAGATGTTGAGATGTTCTAGAGTCTCCTAAATCATCAACACCTAATTTAAATGAATAAAGACATTTCACGTCCAGAAATGAGTGTTGCTTCTATATGTGTGTCTTAATCAGATCATGACTGAAGAGGCTTTTGACGTGACGGTGGTTGGCTCCTGTATGACTGACTTAGTGAGGTGAGTAAAGTTTGCCCTTACTTAACTTCGCTTCCTAAAAGTGTTGTGTCAGTACTCTGTGTGCTTCCTGAAATTACCCTAAATCAACCATATATTTTATAAGAAGGCTGAGAACAACATTTCTAGCTAAATCTGGGTTCAGGAAACTCCTCTGCTTCCTCAGGTGGGCCCAACAGGATGCAGCACATTGGGCAAATTTTCATGACCATATTAGGACATGTATTTAAAAAATGTAAAGAGGAGTTTCTCAGCCTTCGGGTCAGGAGCCGCGTAGCTTCGCTTAGCATGGAGATGGAGATTTGCAAGACAGATTTTTTTGGGATGTTTTGAAATATATTTATTTTTAACCATTTAGAAATACATTAGTTAGATTCAAATGTTGAATCATCTGTGTATATTAATCTCTAAAAAGGTTGAAAAACTTACTTTATATCATTTGGATCAGTTGTTCAAAATGACTACAGGACTAGTCATTTCCCTTATAACCCAGTGGTGCCCAACCTGGGGTCATGACCACTAAAATATAATAAGGGATACAGATAAAGAAAAATGTCTTTGTTTTACACAAAATCATATACTTCTTATGACTTTCTGACTCAAATTGATGCCTTTTCTTTTGAAATGCTGGACACTTATTTTTCTCTTTGGGTCTAAAAACCCTTCAACTTAAAGAAGAAAAATCACTCTTTAGTTAAACTGATCACTAATCCACACTAAGACCATAACCCGAGGAGAGGCTGATAGCCATTGTTTAATTTGAATGGGTCACAAGCCAAAACGTTGTGGTAACACATCAGCCATAGTCTGATCATATCTTATCAACTGTTCCTGGCCACAGCAGGCCTGTCAGGCTTTGGATATTTCGCTGGCTGTGTGTGTAGCTGTAGTAAGAGCAATAATCTGCTTTTAAAGAGTTTGAAGGGCAGCGTCTTTTTTCATCCTTTCTCAAATCAGGAACACAACAGCAAGAGTGGAAGGAACGGAACGATGTGTTCTTCTGCTCTAAGCATTCTGTTCTCCATACAGTCTAACCAAGTGTCATTTACTGACCTACAGGCATCATTAACTTTGTTCTTTTGTTACAGGTTATTTTAGGAAAGCCAGACATGCCTAGCATACACTGTGTAGGCCTGTCTCAATAACTACTTTTGTAGTAATTACGATATATAGTGCCGATATAATTGGAATAATAATGCAGGTACGCCCTTTCAAATAGCAATAAACTTTAAATTCTTAAGAGTACATTAGAATTGGAATGAGGAAAAAATGTAAAAATTCTTGATGAATAAAACATAAATAAAACCACCACACAACAAAAACATTGAAAATGATTCCCTCTCGGGTTCTGTTACCAGAAATTGCACTCACATAAATATCAAACCTTTGTCTCAGGCTATAGAGTCATTCATTCCATAACAGGCAATGTAGTAATGGAAGAGAACACCCTGCTGTTTGTGACAGGCCTAACACTGTGTAGTATTTCCCTGCTGTGTGGAGTTTAGGGTAAAATCAGCAGCTTAGAGTTACTTTTACCAAACACATCGGTTAGTCCTCATCCTAAAAGCCTTTTCTTTTGTAAGATTAAAAATGACAACATTTGAAAATACCACCAAGTAAGCTAAGCGGCTAAATAGGATTATGTTAGAATGAAATGACTGGGATCACACGGTTTTCCTTATCATATCAATAAAACTAGGACTAACGGGCTCTACGCTGTAATGCAATGTGTCTTTAGTTCCATGTTTTCTACATGGATCCTCAGCTGGTGAGGATGCTGACCTTTTTCTGGGGTCAGTTAGCTTTAGCCTCAGTCTATTAGCACAATATGTGTAACCATTAAGTGCACATTTAAGACCCCTTTTTAAAGAGCAGTAAACATTACAAAGTCAGCCGGAGACAGCGATTTCAACCAACTCCTGGAGCTAACCTTAGCTTAATTAGCTAGTTAGCTACAGCTGATCAAATCTGCATTTCAGACGGCAAAAATTGGCAGTTGTGGCTAGAAACGAGAATCATGCTTTTGTGTGCCTCTGTCTGAAATCTAGGACCCATTGCTTCAGGAATTATTAAGAATTTTGGTGGTGTATCTGCCACAGTTATCACTGTACACTGTCTCGCACAAGAACGGAAAACTCAAGCGGGCTTAGCAACAGTAACTTAGGGGGTGTAGCTTAGGAAACGGCCAATTGTCTTTGCTTAAAACATGTTTCCCTTTATTATTATTAACCAGCACAACCACCATTTTCCTTCAGGGATTTTTTTTTTTTTTTTTTTGACATGTAGGCTTGTGGAAAATATGGCAAACGGCTGATGGGTGTTTTCCATCACGGCTTGAAATGGACTGCACAGTCCTGTCTACACAAGAATAGGGGAAGTGGTCTAAACTTAGATAATGCCTCTGGCTTTTCAATACTTGTCCTAAAAGTGTCCCCAAAGTGTTGTACAGAACATCCCTGGTCTGAGAGTGTTTGGTCCAACAGCTTTCAGGCCATTAGGCAACAATAGTGAGCAGACTGCAGGTTAAACAGGGCGACATCTGTCCGTCTTTCCACTACATTTCCTAATATTTTCTGCCAAAGAACTGATCATTCTTAAAGTTTTTTAGAAATCTGCTGCTGTTCTAAGATATTAGATCCAGTTCCCTGCAGCAGGTTGTTTTTACTATTGATCTAGTCATTGACAGGTGATACAGGTGTGACCGTCCCACGAATAATCCGACTCAGGTTTCAAAGACTCAAAGTGTGCAGATGATCTGGTATAATAACTGCTCACTTAAATGTCAGTGTTGCATCATCCTCGTACGTGGTGAGATTTGTTAAAACCAAGTAGGATCCATTCCCACAAATCGTTAGTCATCAACTCCAGCACAATGGGTTAGTTGAAAACAATTCGTCACCCTCGTTTACCATAGCCTTTGTGAGGAATGACACAATCACAAAACATACATAAAGTAAGTACTGTATAATGTCATGTCTCCGTGGGCTCCAGCCAACTAAATGTCTCCCCATCAGCCTGAAGAAGCGTGTTGTTTTGAGTGTGTGCGACAGTTTTGTCATACAGCTTGTTTTATATTTTTATGTGAAACCCTGGGAATAATAGCTGTCACCTGGCTGCCAGCAAATGGAGATCTGAATAAACAGCCACAATCTGTGCTCTTGGGAGAAAAGTTTCTTGGCATTCTCGGGAGCGCTCACTCCAATTCAAGTTGTCACATTTTAGTTGTCACTCACAAGTCCCCACTTATCAAAAACATATGCCTTCTCCTACTGGGGTTTTTTTTTCTTTGTTGGCAAGTATTTATTTTGTTGCTCATTAGCAATTCAACCAGTGACTTTGTGCTTTGAAGGGCAGGAGTTGTCAATTAAGACCCTAATAAGCTAACGGGAAACGGCCTGTTTTTGGAGAGTGTGTGTATGTGTGTGTGGGGTTGGGGCTTTTTGGATGGAGGTCAGAATGCGCATAGGGGAGGGTAGTTGGAGTGCATTCGCAGCCCTTCAAAGTGATATGCATGGCTTTGAAGTTAGAAATCCAGTTGTCTTGAACAGCGAGTGTTTGGGTGGCAGTACAATTAACTGACAGACAGCGCGGGCACACACTCGCATACACTCTCACACTCTGTCCCTCTCGGCTTCTGCCCTGCCACACCAACACACAAGTGTAACACAGATAACTGAGGTGTTCTCTTATAAATGTATCCGTCCGGCTGTACAGCATACTATGCTCCTTTTTTAGCAAAAGGTTTAATTGCTCACTATATGCAGTGCACAAGGAGGAGGAGCAGAGCCTCTCAGGCTTTTAACCCATTGTCAAAGCCATACAGTGCCCCCTACTGCCACAGCTCAATGAGTGGAGACACTTTTCATCTGCTCAGTGAAACCTGAGTTTTCCAAATTATAGAGCGGAACCTAAAGGTACCGCAGGATTGTTTCTATCAAAGCACAGTAAACAAACCTTCATCTGATGTTTTTATGAGGGTGAATCTCAAGCCCAGACTTGCTAATTTGGGCCCCAGCTGTCAGTGTGGTAAGTAAGGATTAGGGATTTATTTGTTGACTGACAGAAAACAGTTTTGAAACTAATCAAAGTATAATTATTTTTAAGCAGGAATGAAAAACATTTACTGGTTCCAGCTTCTCAAGTGTGAATATTATCTGGTTTTCTTACTCTTCTTTGATAGTAAATTGACTGTCTTTGGGTTTTGGACTGTTAGTCTGATAAAAAAAAAAGGGCATTTGAAAGTGTCACCATGACCTGTGGAAACCTGTTATAGCAATTTTTCACAATTTGCTGATATTTTCTTTTGAGACCGTGGTTTCCAACCTTTTGCCTTATAAAGCAATGACTCTGTTTACAACTCCCTCATCGCACCACACAAACTGCATATGTCAGTGATTTTATCTTTTTAGCATTTCTGATTGTTTTCTCTATGTATATTGTAGGTGTAACTATCCAGTTTAGAGCAAAGAATAGAGACAATATCCAAAATTATGAAAATATTTGTTGTCTTCTTTCTTGTGCCATCCCGTGTCCCCTTGAAAGGGTCCAAACCCCCAGTTTGGGAACCACTGTTACAGTGCACACTCTCCCCCCAACCCTTCCATGGTCCTTTTCAACTCAATGGTGTGCTGTGGGAAACTGTGCTTACAAGTGAAGTACACAAAGTACTCTCCACAAAGTATAAGGGGTGTAAGAAAATATCAGAAAATATCCTATTGGGATGTTTTGTGATATTGTATAGATTATTAAAAATCAAAATCGCTATTTGTTTAGGGCTATGACGTTTGATGTTGGATGTTATAGGGACTAAATACAATGCAGATCACACTGTTGTGGTTGCATAAAAAAGTACTTTTTCATGCATATGGTAGTGTGTTTATACTATGACATTTTTCCTTAATTTGGATTGAAAATTGTGACAATATATCACTTTGCTTACATTATCGCAGTATATCGTGATACATATCGTATCGGCAAATTCTTGCCAAAACACAGCCCTGCAAAGTATTAACTTACTTTAGAGTACTGCCTATATTTTTATACCATACACTGTGTCAAAGATCTGTCTGGAATCTTTTATGTAAAAACATATGAAACAAAGCTGTTCCTATCTGTGCCGACCATTTCAGACACTGAATAGTTTAGTAAGTGGCTTATTATATCCCCTGATATAGGCTGCTTCTGACCACCGAGTGAATAATAGCAACACACACGTGGCTCCAACAAATGGTCTGACCACACAAAAATAAACGCCCACGCTCTACTCCGACACTGCACCTCTTGTTAGCGAAGCAGCTCACTGTGTCCATGTGAGGGATGCTGTCTTTGCTCAATCTGTTCTTTGTTAAGACCCTTCACCTTGTTCTGATTAGCTGGAGCTCCAGCTACAGGGACCTCAGTGGACACAGAAAATTATACAACACATGAACAAAAATGTCTCCTCAGGCTTGAAAAGCTTTATGTCTGAGGCACAATATGAGTTGAAGGTTATCACACTGATATTAAAAAGGCTTCTGTGTTTGGTACAACTAAAGTATCCATACCTGTTCAGTTATTGTATGAATCTTTGATTAATCCAAGGAAAAGCTTGAGCGCATTTTGCACATGGTAAGTTCTCTTTGGAGGTTGTGTTTGGAACTGGATGGACAGGCTCTAGTTCCAACTTTGGAAAACAGCATTTCAATTTGTTTTTGTCCAAGTCTACTTCCCCCTGTTGCTCACCAACAGCTGAGGAATGACTTTAATAGAGACGGAGAGGAGAGGGAAATGAGAGCCAGCCTCAAAGCAAACACTTCACGTCACTGAACACCTGCTTTGGCCTTTTGGTTCCATGGGAGAAAACGCACTGAGGTTGCACTTTAGCACATAAGTGCCCTGTTTGTTTGGTGCACTCACCACAGACAACAATAGCCAAGTGTCTCTGCGGGCATGAAGAGGCGTGGGTGGGTTTATTTAAGAATTTGGAAATCTGTTTATCTTACCTGTGAGTTATCCGGCTTCAGGTGGCTGTCAGCCAAATGTTATGTTGACAGTGCTACAAACAAACGCTGTGCTCATTATTTATAACAATTTCATGAATATCTCAATCGAATCCATGTGCGCTTCATTTGTTAAGATAAAACATGACACCCACAAATCATTTTCCTGAGCATTTTTATAAAACCGGAAGGCAGCACATTGGTTAGTGGCCTGTGTATGAAGGACACAGAGAAATGCTTCTTACATAATAATCCTTTCAGCCTGTACATCTGATAAAAAGCCTACCTGTCACACAGTTTACTAGCATCATACACTACACTAAAGAAATAACTAAAGACAAGCAGAGGAACTGGAATAAACTACTTGATAAAGTAGAACCAGATTCCAACAAACAGGCTACCGCCACTGTGAATGGATTCAACAGGAGAAAGATTTAGGTAGAAGACTCAAGTTTGTCACTCAGAGGACAAAACAGAAAATGGTCCTACCTGAAATATCCAGTATTACTGTAAGTAATAAGTCATATTTAGACATTTTAGGAAATATGCTTACTTGAGAAGACAGATACCACTCTCCTGTTGAGATACTGCCTTCGAGTATTAAGCTAGAGCCACAATAGACCTTTTTCACAGCAGCCATTTTGACATGAAACAGTAGGGTAAACACAGGTGTTACCAATGATACTAATAAAGGCTCTGTTCCCTTCAGGTCAAACAGAGTCGGGGTACAGCTGTTGTGCATGTTGGCTCACTGGAAAGGCTCTGCTACACTGAATGGAACAGAACCTTAATCAGAATCATTGGTAACACCCGTGTTTACCCTACTGTTTCATGTCAAAAAAGCTGCTGTGAAAAAAAGTATATTAGCTTATCTTAGCTTAGGGTAGTTTTTACATTTCTGTGTGTTAACACATTAAATAATATACTGTATGTGATAATTGCTGAGCTTTAGGGGTGTGGTAAGTATTTTTATTTTTATTTTGGAGAGAGCCAGGCTAGCTCTTTCCGCTCTTTATGCTAAGTTAGCTAACCGGCTACTGGCAGTAGTCTGGATACTGGCGGTAGTCATATTTACCAATACAGACGTGATAATGGTATCGACCTCTCTTTCTTCTTCCTGAAAGATAAGCATTGAGCGAGTGGCAGGATAACCGTCTAACCGTTTCGGTTTCATATTTACTGTACAGGCATCAGAGTGGACTCCATATTTTCACTGGGAACATATTTAAGCTCTGACCCACTATTAAAACATATGTTTAAAGAAGCGTGTAAGAAAGGGTCCCACAAATGTAAGAAAGAAGACATAGACGTTGTAAATGTAATGACTGACATTGCCGTATGATGCTGCATTTCAGAGAGGCCAAACACTAAACTAATAAACAATAGGTGAGACCTAAAACCAGTGGTTTACAATTTTAGGAAATCTGCTTTTTTGAGCGTTGCTTAGCACAAAGACTGACACGGGGAAACAGCTTGCCTGGCTTAGTCTAAATGTAACAAAAGCACCCTATCAGCACCTCACAACCTCACTAATTAACACGCCATATCTCAAACCTAGGTGTGTATAAGTGTCATGTTGTGGTTTCGAGGGTGGTGCCAAACTCTTTCTTGTTCTTGTTTTGGACAGAGCCAGGTTGGCTGTTTGCCCCTGATTTCAGTCTTTTTGCTAAGCTAACCGGCTACTCACAGTAGTCATACTTCCTATACAGATATGATAGTGGTATGGATAATAACGAAATAGATTGTTTTGATATTTTTTGTAAAATTTTCAGATGTGTATTATCCTAAATTTAATAGGCATGTTTACTGGTTTACTTATCACCAGTATATCATATATATCATGTAAATAGAAGTGATAACCATTATAAAAGATATTCCCCCACCAAAACATGGCCTTCACCAGGAGTCACACAGCGGTGACACAGGTGGGAAAAGTTTTCTAAGACAGCTGCAAGTAGAATAGGTACTGTGTGTGTGGAGGAGGTGTGTGTGCGTGTGTATTTACATGTGTTTGTCCTTTGTTCTGTTTGCTTCTCACCACATTTCAGCCTCACTGACCCTACATCCTGTTATAGCTTTGGGCATTTTAGTGTTTTCACACGCCTGTGCAAAAACAGCAGCATTTATAACAACCTCCAGTGTTTGCCACCAGCGTCTCACTTACTGGAAATCCTGGGATTGAGGAAACTTACTGTAATAGCACACCTGCCACAAACACACACACACACACACACACACACACACACACACACACACACACAGTATGAAAAAGAGCAACAACAGCATGAAAAACAAGTTTATGACAACATTTCACCATCCGCAAACCCACTGGCACTGGGCAGCGCTGGCCTAGGGCCAGACCACAATGTCCTGACGTACAGTACAAAGCTGTCTGTTGTCTCTCCTCCATGTTACTCACCAACCACTCTGTCTCTGTGATTGGAGGAATCAGCGAACAGACAGCTCCTCCTGAGGGCACCCACCTGTGGCATATCAAACTTGAGGGGAGGGGCAGGACTTTACCCAACCCAGATGAGTCAGGCATTACTGGTGCGGCTAGTGTCAAGTTGAGACATCAATGGGTTTTGCTGGTTGCATCATTTGCAAATTTGGAAAGACTTGCATGGGCATATCTGACTTATTGTCTAAATAAAATATCTGGAGTGCTTTTAAGGATGATGAAGCAAATGTAAACTCATGTTTTATTACTGCTGTTGTGTTCAAGTATGGAAAACGGAAAATGGGGGGAAAAGAAAAAAGTTTGCTGTGCTTCATTCCGGCAAGTTTTCATTTTGTTGACCTCTCTGTGAAAGACCTTGAAAAGACCAAGAGATATAATCCTCAGCAGACTCTGCCGAAACCTCTTGTTTGTGTGTTTTAGCACATTTTCCAGTGATAAATAAATAGCTTAACCAGGGAAAGATTTGGCCCTGAAGGGTTGTCTTCACATTTTGACATCTCCCTTTACTCCTTGGTTTCAATGTAGAACACTCACAATGCCAAATAAAACATTTTTCAAAGTTTGACGGAAAATTTTCAAACTAATCGGCAGTGTGAAGACACTGTTGAGATGAAAAGAAAATCCAAGCAAAGAATTCCTTTGAGAAGAGGAATCTTAATTTTATTTTCTATAGACCATGAGGTTCTTTTGAATGTCAATGTGTACACCTTAAAACTGTGCTCAATACCGTTTTTTTCCCCCTCAGCCAGGCACCAAGGCTACCCAAAGCCGGGGAAACCATCCATGGTCACAAGTTCTTCATTGGCTTCGGAGGGAAAGGGGCCAACCAGTGCATACAGGCTGCAAGACTTGGGGCCAAAACCTCTATGGTCTGCAAGGTGCGAAATCATAATCAAGTTTGCAGCCATACGCTGCTGTTGTGTTGTAGTTACTATGTGTGTTAGTTTGGATCCTAGCGGATGTGTGAATGTCAGTAAAAAGTTATTTTGCTCGTCCAACCCTTGGTTCATCCACGTCTTACTCAAATAATCAGCTACCATAGTCCACCAACTAGTTAACAACCCTCAGAAACCTTATAGCTTCGTTCACACTTCAGTCATTTCACTACATCAACTCTCCATGCCTCATTTTGTCTTGATCAATACCATGCCGCATGCATACGCCCACCCACGCTTGTGCGCCTTCAAACAAGCCTATTCCCAAAGCATACAACCCCGAGTCTCCAATCAGTAAGCTCAGTGTGGCCTTTCAACCTGAGCGCTAAAGCACCGAAGCCTCACCTCTGTCAGAACAAAGAGGCCCGATCGATAACAACCCAGTGCGGGAGGAGCTCTCCGGGCATGGGGAGAACCCAAAAATAGACACCCGGGCTTGTCAAAAACATCCAAGACGGAAGGCCGCTCTTCAAAGAGAATGGGGCCAAGCAGCCAATACCAGCCCAACCCACTATCACAGCCAGTTAGAAGTGCTCGCGTTTTGGCACGTTTTTTGGAAAGCGTGGGTTCGAAGTAGGCGCCTCGGGGCAAGGTGGGGACCCCTTCCACAACCCAAAGTAGCTACAGATGTGGACATCCCTGTGCGGATCAGGGGAAGAGGGGAAGGAGGGAAAGAAAACGAAGGCGAGGTGGGCATGAAGAGGCGTGAAGGCGGGGTTATCGTGTCTTGAAGGCTTGGCGCAGCTGGTCGTGTGTTTGCGCGTGTGTGCGTTTGTTGACTTTGTGTGTTCGTTTTTGCACATTTTCGGCGGCGGCACCATGCCAGTATGCTGGCAGGGCACACGAAAATCCAACCCAACTGAGGTTTGAGTATACCACTTTTCAAAAGTTGCCGCTAACCAAGTCTGACCCCGCTTGACACTCTCTTTGTTGTTATCGTTTTGCCTTCAATCTTTTCTAGGTTGGTAAAGACTTCTTTGGAGACAATTACATCCAGAATTTCAAGGACAATGGTGTACACACAGGTAAGATAGAGCTTTTTTTGCATGATATGCCAAATTGGTTTCCATTTCCACGTTGCATGGCAAGAGGTTCACATTCAGAGCAGTGTTTTTTTTTAGTCTGCATTTTGTCAATTCTTTTTTGTTACTCAAGGCTTTTGGATATACTGGAAAGTTATTCTATTGTTATGAGCAAACATTGTTAAACCATTTGGATTTGTATAAGAATGGATAAGAATAAAGTTGCTTTTCAAAAGTTGTGCTCAGTGCACATACTGTTTTAGACTCTTGGTGTTTGTGGCCTGTCTCCTCATAGCCAAAAAAGCTGTGACCCAAGCCGAATTCACTTCACGCTATTACTAGTGGTTACTATGGTGCTGGTCTCTTTGACTATGCTGTCAAGACAGAAAAGCAACATATTTCTTTTTGCAGGAAAGACAAATAATGGATGCTTTCAAACTCTTTTTTGCACCTTTCATCTTTTCTCTCTGTCTCAGACTTTGTAGGGCAGACCTCTGACGCTGCCACAGGAGCTGCCTCCATCATTGTCAACGATGCAGGTAAACGCTTTCACCACTAAGATCCTAAAAGCTCCTTGAGTTTTAGAAATGGTCTTTTACAAGCACGACCATGTGTGTTGCGGTGCACACTTTCTCACTACTACTACTACACACACACTGTACGCCCATGCATTTAGTACTGCCACTGACTGCCACTGACTCACCAATACTCAAGTGACTGTAATTGCCGGATATACACACACACTCACCTATACAAATGCTTATTGTAAGTGCACCAAACCCTGCTGAGTATCCACAGGTTCCAATCTGCTACCATCCACGACTTTACTCATGGAGAGCAATTTTTGTCATGCAGCACATCAGGCGATGTAAAATTCGAATTACGTGTGGACTCCCTCCTGGATATGCTTCTATTCTAGTACTTAAAGTACGTTCTCATACGTCATTGTGCCAAACAGTTGACTGTTTTAGTGTTTTGAAAGAGGTCTAACTGATAGTGGTTAATTGATGGATTGAATTTAAGAAATAATGATACATAAAACAACATGCACGTTCGATTTTGCATTAGTGTGAAAAAATCCACCCAATTGTGTGTTTAGTGCTTTCCTTAATTGAGGAAAAGAAATCTTCAACAAGAAAAACAACACAAAGCACCTGAATATCACAGTTCATATGCAGCAGATTTAAAACTGATTGCGATTTACTACTATATATAACAAATGTCGTCAAGTTGAAAAAAATCCAAATATTGCTACATTTCTTACACCTGGCTATGGTAGAAAACTTTTTAAATAAAAGTCAAATACAACAAAGCACAATAGTGACATACTTTGCAAATAAATCATAACTCTCTTAATTACTTTGTCTCATTGTGCCCTCTTTCTCAGCAGAGGTGTAATGGCGCTCAACTGGAGAGTTAGCCCAACAGTAGTGGATAGCACATGCACATGAATTCACATTTTCTTTCACAGTTTTTCACAAAATTCTTTTAAAAATTAACAAAAAGTTGAAGGAAACTTGACTGTTAAAGTCCCATTTGACAAAGTTCATATTTTCCATGTTCATGCCAAATTACAGTGTAGCAGTGTTAACATAGTGTAAAAATAAAAGTCACCACAGTCTCATATTTCATATCACCAATTTAGCCCTATTTATAGAGAATTCCCATGGATTCTCAAAGTCGTCATCATCATCATCACGACGGCTGTTGTACATTCACATCTCTTTTGGTGTCCACTGGCAGGTGAGAATGCCATTGTGATCGTTGCGGGTGCCAACATGCTGCTGGGCGGCGAGGAGTTGCAGAAAGCTCTTCCAGCCATCAGTCATGCAAAAGTGCTCGTGTGCCAGCTGGAGATCAGCCCGCAGACATCCTTGCAGGCACTGCGCATGGCTCAGGAGTACAAAGGTCAGTGAGTATCTGTGGACTGTATGTGACGCTGTGTCCATGCAGGTTCTTCTCAAGTCAGTGAGAAAATGATCGATTCTTAAAAAGTACAGAGGAAACAAAGTTTGAAACAGTATTATAAGGCCACTCTTATATAATAAGAACAGGTGGTTACATTTGCATTCCATAAACTGTGTATATTGTCACCAACTGTGTTTTCAATGCGTTGACCACAGAGGTTACAGGTATTATTCACATATATAGTAGAAGAGTTCCACATTGAGATAAAAATTAATTTTGAGTATTTTCAACAAAAACTGCCTCCTCTTCATCTGTTAAACAAACCTTAAAAAGCCTCATTAAATATTGATCTTAGTTGTGTGACCTGTCAAACAATTTGGACTGATTGCAGATTAAGATTAAGTCTTACATTTGGATCACATTCTGCCTTGAAGTGCCAACTACGGTTGGGCCACCGATGGCTGACAGTCATCAACCACTGAGCCCTCTACCATCGTAACATCGTGATTTAAAAACAGCCGTCCTCAAAATGTGTGCCCAAAAAAGTATCACAATGTCCATAGAAACTTCTCAAACCACTTCTGCAGTATAATCCGCTTCCCTGTTGGCCATCTGTGTGGCTTACTCATTGGCTAGCTTGATACTGCACGTTCTATAAACACAGCAGACCATACATGGCTGAGAAGAAGTCACGCATTTACTGAAGTCAAAGAGAAGAGAAGAGAAGAAGAAATAAAATTTGATCAAATACTAATAACTAGTTGCCCTCATTCTGGGGTTTGAGTGACATGCCTGGTCAGTACAGTTGGAATGCAGATGTGAAAACAAACGGGAAGGAGGTTTGTCAGGCTGAGATAGAGTGGTTCTGACCAATGTAGGAGTGGAAGACTCATGACGCTATTTTAGTTATATTTTACCATCTGACAGATAAACATACATGATTTTTTTCGCGATTTAATTTTTTGTGTAGACAACCACCACCTATGACAACAGGCTTTTTGCACCATCTTTAAGTGTGGCCATACAGCAGCCAATATACTTTTGCCTTCAGACAATACAAGCCAGTTCATTTTAAGAATAGACTTGTGTTAAATGTTGGGTTATGAAACCTGCACATACGTCAAGATCATTGATCTTGTCTTCCCAACAATGGCGTTTTTAAGGATCGAAAAATACAGTCGAGCATGACAAGATGTATCTAAATGACTCAATGTCATGTGACTTTTCTGTTTGTATTCCACATTTACACTTTCCTAAGCTCTTTATAGAGAAGCATCCCGCTGACTCGTATCACTTTATCAAGTAAAGTGTGAGAATTTGACAAATGTAATAGTGTTTGTTGTGTCCCAGTTTCCCACTTTCTACATCGACCGCCATGTCTTTACACACATTACTAAAACCCAACAGGATCCTAGTAGTCCTGCGTAAACAAAACCTATTTTGGATCACTGCCTCCCTCTGTCCCTTCCTCCTTCCACCTTTTTGGTGATAACCAGGTTACTGAGCTCATCGTCTTTAACAGCATCCTATTATTAGCAGGCCTCCGCGTCATTCAAGACGTCTGGGGAGCCTCTCGCCCCTGTCATCAGGGCCTGTCGTCGGTAATCGCTCGCCGCAGGCTGCCAGAACGAAAGAGTCGCAGCCATAGCCGTGCTGCAGATGGGATACCCAGATGGCCTCGCCCAGCGCCACCCTCTTTCCCAGACCCCCCCCTTCTCACCGTGTCGACCATACCACGGGATTAGGCTCGGCATGCGGCGCCAGGAGAGAGGCACAGCGAGCGAAGACGCTTGGCAAAGATGCCACCTCGACGCAGCCGCGGCAGAGCATTGCGTAAATGGAGTTCTCTGGAGAGAATGGGTGTTAATGGGTTTGATGGTGAGGATTTAATGACGCGGGGGTGAAGCGCCGCTCATATTACGCAAATGTCACCATCAAGCCACACGTACTGTGGATGCCAGCTCTCACAAACACTTCAAGATAACCTATCAAGAAGAGTTTATTCTCCTTGCGTCTAATTATTTGAGAAGGAAAACATATGCATGTACGTAATCCGTTGCCATCTAGCATATTATATTGAGAAGTTAATGGAATTAAATGAATTCTAAGATGTGAGGAAATGGTAGGAGTTGTGTAGTTTCACTCTTTCTTTCTTTCTTCCGTCTTCACCCCGTCTTCCTCCCCCTCTTCCTTGTCTGAGCAAGAAGCCGCTTTTATATTTCTCATCAGATGCAATTAGAGCCTCTTAAAGCCCTTTCACATACTCACTGATGACTCATTTCTTTTGTGTGTGTGTGTGTGTGTGTGTGTGTGTGTGTGTGTGTGTGTGTGTGTGCATGTAAGAGAGAGAGAGTGTGTGAGTGATCTCTGTGTTGCTCTGTTTTCCCTCTACCCCTGATTTCTATCCACCTTTTGTCCTAAATCGACCAGAGCAACAAACTGCTGTATTTTTGTACTTTCCTGAGCCACTCTGGCTGCTCATCCAGTGCATGTCCGACCAGACTTTGAACCTCCGTGCAAAAAAAAAAAAACCCAGAGTCATGACACACGCACACACACTCTCCTGCCAGACATGACTCAGTATCCACACATCCCAGTATTACCACATCTGTCCCAGCAGCTGTGAGAGTGTGTGTATGTGAGTGTGTTTGCGTGGTTTCACTAACACCTTGAGAGCAAAACAAATCAACCTGAGACCAATATCACAGGTTAACGTTACGTCCACAGTAGCAGCTCCATGCATCAGAGAGGCACATTCCTCCATGCATCAGTGCATTTGGGATTTCACACAAGCTGCTCCTGTGTGCATATTGATAAGCTGCCATCGTTTGCAGTCCTTTTGCATGTACGCTTCATGAGCTCCAGGCCTATGCATTTGACATCAGCTCTGAAGTAACACGCTTGACGCAAACACTGTGGTCGCGCCACAGATGGCAAATGAGGGGGCAGATAGTGGAAGACAACATTGTACTGCCTACCAGTTCGGTACATTGCTACAAATAATAATATGATTGTTGACAGTAATCGGAGTACAGCATGAGTAAGCCCGGTGATACTTTCTTTCTTTATCCTGTTTACATACAGTATGCAGTCAGTGCTTCACTGACTGACTGAGGGGTGTATGTTAATGCCACTGAAGCACTCCACATATTTTATAACAATCGCTCCAATTACCAGCATAGGCATATTTACGTAATCAGCACCGGATTAACATGCGTCCCATTGTTGTGCTTAATTTGCATCACATGTTTGATATGCATGTGAGCTTCTGAAGAACATTGGGAAAATGTGACAGGGAGGAAAAACTGCTGATTTCTCTTTTACTGTTTGCAAAGGGGAGTGGGAGGGATGCATTTATTATAGTTTGAATGAACTTCTATACGGGTGCTTTCGTCGAGATTCAAGACTGTTTATTGTCACTCTGCAGAGGAAAACGGTCACAGAAAAGAGATATTGTTCAGGTCCTCTTAGACAGACGAATGGTCGATTAAAAGAGGTCTAAATGAAATGGAACTAAATTTAAACTTGTGGAATTTACTAATAAATTTAAACTCTCAAGCTGAGCAAATCATCTGTCCCTCTCCTCTCCCTCGGACCTCCTGGATTCCTGGATAACGGCAACTCTCTCCTCACAGGAGACGGGAAGCAGTCATATTAATATCTACTAGAAAGGAATCAATCGTCCACCTCTCTTTAAACTGTCTGTCCTTCAGGTCAACCTCTCTCAAGAGAAATGTTGGTGTCAGGTGCACTGCGATAAATGTAGGTGTTGCAAAATTAAGCACAGCTTTCCTGCTGTTGTGTAATAAAGAGAATATTTTTATGCCCTAAAATGAAACACTGGGGAAGAGTCTGAATGGGATGAAAAAAAGTTTTGGGCCGGATGTAATGATATATTCTAAAAATGAGGAAGCCTAAGAAGATTGTCTCATGGGTCAGATCACCTATGCTTGTTGTTTGAGGCACCTGCTTTTTTTAGTGGACACAATTGTTCAATTTCCAAGTGGTTTTGACCTCATGGGGTCTTCATCAGGGTGGGAATAAGAAAGAAAATTGTATACAGTCAAAAGGACGAATGGAAAAATTACTTCAAAATATTAATATAATCAAGGTAATAAAATAATCCATTCAAAATGCAACACACATATAATCTTCATTTAGACAGAGTTATACAAAGGAATCAAATTTGAAAAGGTTTCCTCCTGCAAGACAGAAAGAGTGTCTGAGAGTGCTTGAAAACATACCTTTCAGGAACCATTTTTTCGTCTTGAAGAGCACCCTAAAGGGTAAGGCTAGCCTTATTCTGTATTTTTCTTATCGTCTAAAAATCCCACGAAAAGACCAAACCCAAGAAAGAATTGATCAAAATAACAAGTGCCACAGAGCTCCACTGATGTGTTTTTAACTACTGAAAACACATCAATGAGCCCACACTGAAGTTTATTTTTAATTCAATCCCACATACACCGTCCTGCTGCTGGAAATACTGACACAAGAACTAAATTTGTATTAATCCACAGCGGAAAATAGTCCCCAACAAATGCACTTTTCTAAGAGTTACAGTCTTGAGTTGTTTTAGGATTATTTACTGAGCTTTGTTTTTTTTTTTTTTATGCGGTTGACACAACGATCTTACCTCAAGGGCCATTCAGTATCGAGTCATACAGTCCTCATCAGGACAGTGAGTCTTCTCAAATTTGACTTTTTATGACTTCTGAAGTTTTATATTTGTAACTAAACCTTTTTGAACGATTTACTTCTTCAGTAGGAACCAGTGTGTTCGGAACTGAGGAGCCCATACAGTGTAGGGAAGTTGGACGTTGTAGTATTTTAATACCAAGGTGCAGGCAACATAATAACAATAATATTAACAACAACAATAATAATTATAATAATAATAATAATAAGCTTTATTTATACAGCACTTTTCAAAACTAACTTTCCAAGCACAAAGTGCCTGACATGGCTGGAACCAGGATTAAAATCAGATGGCAATAAGGCAAAATAAAGTCAGAGAATTAAAATCATATAGAAGTGAGGTAGAATCAAAAGAATAAAACCATCCCCATCAGTAAAAATATGTACTAACAATAAAATAGATAATAGATAGATAATAGATTTTTGGCAAAGTATTATTTTTTTTTTTTAAATGAAAGCATAGAATACCCATCGCTAATATATGCTAAAGCCAATAATACTAATATAATAGATAAGACATGATGGAAACTTAGAGCCTGTCCACACGAATACAGTACTCACACAATACGATGTCGTTTCGAGAAAAATCTCCGTAAACACGGTGTCCACACGGATTCACTGAAAACGACCCAAAACGCTGTAGTACATATGCCAGGCCTGTATGTGGCGCTGTGACGCCAGCACACCAATACACTAAAACCGGAAGAGAAGCCATGGAGCATGCGTATAAAGGTCACGCGCTGTTTACAAACAAGTAGTAGTAGTCCGCCATTGTTGTTGTTGTTATGACACGTCTAGCGGCGGCGGCTGAGGTTAAAGGCTAGAGAGGCGGGGCTAATACGTCATCGTTTCGGGAAAAAATCAGTTTTCGCCATCCAGACAACTCCGGGCAATCCTGCGTTTTCGTATTTTCCCACTCTGGGACTCATTTTCCAAAAATACCGTTTTCACACCCCGAAAACGCCGTATCCGTCTGGACGCGAGGCTGATACGATAAAGTATTTATCCGGATTCGACAAAAACGTGTTCGTGTGGACGGCCCCTTAAACAGTGTGCTAAAATAAATAAAAGGTTCAGGAAGTGATTTAAAAGATGTCACTGATTCAGCAAGCCTTAGACCCTTGGCAGGGAGTTCCAGAGCAGAGGGACTTTGAGGCCCGGCTCATAAGGGTGCAGCAATTCAGAAATGTAGCTGTGCTAAACCGTGAAGTGCTTTATTGGTGATCACTAAATTATTAAAATCAGTCCTAAAACTGACTGGTAACCAGTGAAGAGAGGCTAAAACAGGGCTGTGTTAGTTAAAAGCCGAGCAGCTGCATTCTGTACCAGCTGAAGGCACGAGATAGCTGTTGGCTTAACCCGAAATATAGAGAATTACTATAGTCTAATCGTGAAGAAAAGGGCATAGATTACTTTTTCAAGAGATATGCTCCTGAGTTGCGATTTGCTCTTTGAATTGAGGTCACCGTCAAATAATACTCTGAGGTTTCTGGCTGCACGTTTTATATTTGACAACAAGGATCCAAGATTTTTTTGTAGAACAGGGATGGAGTTTGGGCAACCGAAGAGAATTATCTCTGATTTGTTTTAGTTAAGCTGGAAAAGGATAAAAGATGATTAAAATTTCCTTCTTTGCTGGTTTTTAGTGGGACATAAATGTGTGTGTCATCTGTATAACGATGATATGTCCAATAATAGAGCAATGATAAAAGCAAAATGTTTTTGTAATTAACACATAATATGAAGGCATAAATTGACATTGTGACTCTAAGCAGCTCATACAGCTGTGAGTGTAGTCTCAGTGGTTGTGAAATCTTTACCTTATCCTTATTGAGCAATACAGGAACAGGCATCTCACTCTGTTGTTTCATTATCCATTAAATGGTGAGAATAGCAACACATACAAGAGTTTAAATCAGTGTTTTTAGTGGCAGAGGAGATGAGGAACAACAGGGATCCTTCCTTTATTCAAAACTGAGTCATCAGAAATGTCAGATATACAAGGGTTGGAAACTGCGATACAATTCAGTTGACAGAGAGAGAGAAGAGTCAGAAAGAGCCCAGTGTCACTTTTTTGTGACATGGCTGTGGCTCCTGTGGGTATACATACAGTAGTGTATGAGTGTGTGTGTGTGTGTGTGTGTGTGTGTGTGTGTGTGTGTGTGTGTGTGTCTGTATTGAAAAAGAGAGAGAGACATTATTTCCACTTTTACTCGCGAGCAGCCCAGCATCCACCTCAAAGCGCCAGGTGGCCAAAGCCCTGCACAAACCCACGCAGCTGCTCTCTTATGTGCCCACGCAAACACACACACAAACACAGCAACTAGGCACACACTTTTGCGCAACAGACTTTGATGTCACCAACGCCGAACATACATTTCCCTCACAAACACACACACGCACGCACACTTGCATGAGGCTTTATTTTATACACAGAGATATCAGAATTAATCACTTCGTCAAGCTGGGCTTATCCTCACACATACACAGAAATCATGGTATTAGATGCATTAATGCTCCCTGCTCATGAATATGCATAAGACAGTGATGTGCAACACGTACAGAGGATTACTTCTGACAAACACTCCTGCTCTCTCCCGCTCTCTCCCGCTCTTGCGCTCCTCAACATACACAGAAAAGGTCACAACTCATCTCACCCACACACTGACACACATGTATGGGGTTATATACCTCATGTTGAATCTTTTTTCCACACACACGATCCTGGAACTGCAGAGTACTGCAAACAGCTACAGGATGTGAGGCCGTTTCCACCAGCTCCTTTTTTTCCCTCGCTCAACAGTGCTCTTTTCCAGGGAATGCTAATTTAATCGTTTAAAAGGTGTCTTTTTATAGAAGCTTATCCACTTGAGCTTTGCCTGCGAGAGCAATCCCCAGTGGTAGCCCGCTAGCCTTTGTTCCCATTGAAAGTTTAATTAAGGTAATGCCAGACCTTGACAGTGAAGCTCAGAAAGTGGAAAAGAAACATCACACAATTGTAAAATGTGTCACTGAGGGACGCTGTCAAAATTATCCTTTTAAAAGCGAGCTGACAACTATAACTCGGTGTATTATTGAGAACAATGATGGTTTTTTTTTAACCTTGTTTATGATTGCATGTTGTTCTGAGTAGAGCTACAACGATTAGTCGATTAAGTCAGTTAAGTCATTAAGTTGTCTACTATTAAATTAATCACCATCTATTTTGATAATTGATTACTCATTTTAAGTCATTTTTTAAGAAAAAGGCAAAATTCTCTGATTTTAGCTTCTCAATTGTGAATATTTCCTGGTTTGTTCAGTCCTCTGTGACAGTAAACTGAATGTCTTTGGGTTGTGGACAAAAAAAGACATTGAAGGACATCACCTTGGGCTTTGGGAAACAGTGATCAACATTTTTCACCATTTTGTGCCATTTTATGTCCAGAACAACAAATCGATGAATCGCGTGGTCAATAAGATGGTTCATTTCCTCGTTTCTTCTTACAGTAAAGACGATATTCAACCCAGCGCCGGCCATTCCTGACTTGGATACAGGTTTCTACAGAGCCTCTGATGTGTTTTGCTGTAATGAGTCTGAGGTGATTTAGCACACACGCACGCACACACACACACGTAGCTCACAGTATTTATCACAGCAGCATTAATAATTCCTCACACAATAACGCTGCCTCTCTCACACATACATGCACTCTCAATAACAATGGAGCAAAAAGAAAACTGAAACCAGTCCTACACAGCTAGATTGTGGGTTGACCAGCTTTCCGCTCTCACACCGCACACATACAGTGATATTGGTGGCAAATTCACCATCAACATTCTTGGTATTTTTTTTCTTTTAAACAGTAGGTTATCAATTTTACACAGAGGTAAACTAAAGCAGGTATTGCATTTTCAGCCAGTGACTGTCAATTTTGCTTTCTGAAATGACAAGTGTCAATAGTCAGTTGTAGCTATCTAGCTAATGAAGCTAACGTTAGCTCCATGAATTCTTGAAAATTCTGTCTCCAGCTGACTTTTCAAAGGACCGGTGTGTAGGATTTAGCCCCGTCTAGCAGTGTCGTTGCAGATTGTAACTCACTCGCTTCACCTTCCCTTTCCAAGCGGGAGGGAGAAGCTACGGTGGCTGTAATAATGTGCAAAAACGCGGCCCTATCTACAGCCAGTGTTTGGTTTGTCCTTTCTGAGCTACTGTAGAAACATGGCGGTTTAACATGGTGACCCGCAGAGTCTGTAGATAAAAAACGCCTCGTTCTAAGGTAACAAAAATATAACTATTTCTATATTCAGATGATTATACACTACATCCTTCTAAATGTAACACACCAGACCTTTAATGTTTCTAGCAGACCCATGGGTGGTCTCGATTATGCACTTGTCTGTACATATTGATGTACCTGATATCGTGCTAAAAGACTTAAGAAGAGGCAGCAAAAAGTCAAAAAAGCAAATAGTTGATCATTTATATAGAAAATATGTAAATAAAGAAACAGCATTGTTCTTGCATTTTAGTGTAAAACTAGTTAGTCCTAGTATTATAATAACAAAAAAGGTCAGATTGTAATTTCATCCTGACATTACCCCGTTAGGCTGCCTAGCCTACTTGTTTGTATTTCACTTTCACTTTTAATGTTATCTTAAACTTTGATAGCATCCTGCAGCGGCTCCGTGGAATAATACTACACAGTGGATGTGCTTGGCATGAATGGGGCTTTTATGTAACCTGTAACCCTATAAACTAATGCAGTTGGTTAATGAATTACTCCCTGGCCTTGAAATTAACACGTGGTTACTACTGCAGGCAGTAAGCCAGTTAGCTGGGAATGTTTGCAGACAAACTCACAAACTCACTGTTTAATCCAGTCCTTTTACTTCTGCTCGTGTGTTTTTGGTTTTGGAAAGGCTACAAAAAGAAGCTCAACAGTTTAAATGTGTCCAGGCAACACTTTGTAACATTGGGAGACTTGTAGTGCAGTAGAGCTTTCATTGCGCAAACCCAATTGGACCCGACACAACCTGCCGAGTTTGGGATGGGTTTGTGCCAAAAACTTCTTTTTGGGGCCATAAGGTTGGGCCGGACCTGATTTTTGGGGCCAGATCAGAACTCTATTGTGCAGCCCTAAGTTGCATACAGGTATAAGTAGTTCTTCCCATCCTCTCTGTGAATGGAAAAGATGAGAGGTTTGAGATGTTATGAGTGCCCAAACTCACACACACCTTTTCAAAGTGATTCCACTGTACCTCCTGGGTCATGACCCCTGCTAGCACATCAATAACCTCACTGTAGCCTTTAGCCATACATGTAACCCCTCTGGTATGAAGGCGGAACAAGTATCTCTCCACCCTTTTACGGTAAAAACTGGTGTCATGGCACTTTGTGTCGTGATTGTCAGGTGATGACAGATGAGGGACGGGGGCAGGTACAGATGGGAATTGTAGTAAAAACAACAAGGCAGATGTGCACTTTGGCTGAGTCAGCCACCCCCTCAGGGATAAAGTGGATGCGAGTTTGCCTGGGAGCTTCTATTTGATGTGGTGATGCAGAGCGGAGAGAACCTGTAGCCAGGTGTGGGGACATGAAAGGGAGAGTTGACGAAAGCACAACATGTCTACTCTTTTTTGGGGGGTGTCAGGTCATGGAGGTAGAGTCATGTTATACATTATGCAGTACGCAGGGGTGGAAAGAACACTAAACTATCCCACCCAGGGACAGGTTTGTCTGTGTGTGATTGTTTGACCCTGAGGAAGTCCAGTGTGGTGTTGGATAGGACAGTATGAAAATTCCAGGTCACGATTATCTTGGCCAAAATAATTGCGATACACAATATTATCATGATAATCATAAGTCTATACTTCATATTTTTTTAAATTGCTCTAAAATCACATGACCTTACATTTAGTTAAGAAACCTATTTATTTATTTATTGCATCACAGATAGACACCTCATCTCCCTGTTCTTTATTTTGGAATCTATACTATTTCCACACATGCAGTTGAACTTTTTTTGTGGGGGATACAACGGGTGAGCCTTCAGGATTAGAATTTTGGAATGACTTGAATGATGCGGGCTCCCCCTTGTCCCCTTGTTCATAATAAATCAACAAATCAATATAGGACTGTATGCTGGAGGGCTAGACAGCTTTTTCAAGTCATGTGAGAATATTCACAATTATCACGATAATGGAATTTCACCACGATAAATGTTTAAATGTTAAATTGTTGTATATCGTCCAATCCCTAGTCTTGGATAACTGATCGTCTTGTTTTGAAGTTTTTTAATATTTGTGCAGTATGCCTTGGGTTTTTTGGTAAGAATTCCTCTTCTTGTGAACAGGCTTTTAAAACTGTTTTTAAACTGGCTTCTTAGTTACTAAAAAGCATTAATGTTTCAGGAATGGATTACTGTAGATGGATCAAATTGTTTGACTTTATTTTTTAAGTTAAATTATTACAGTAATATCAGTGTTACTTTATAACAGGTTTATGATATGGCGATCAGTTACAGTATAATAATAAAATGTAAAGACCCCAGCCAGAGGCACAAATATTTCTCTTTTAAATATCTTTTTTGAGTTTTACTTTATACATGCTTTAAATTTGAAATGTATGTTATTCCTCAGTTTTGCATAACAACTGTTTACAGTTTAAAATTGAAATCTTGTTCTTGAAAGTGAGGAGCTTGATTTTATATTGGTACATTTTTTACTATTACTGTAAATTTGATCATATTTGAAATTGGTCATTTTTTGTTGTTGCACTTCTCTCTGGAACTGTAGGCTGACTTTTCTTCTACTGTAAAGCTTTTAGTGTACATGGCTACGTACCTTTGAGTCTTTGGAAAATCAAATGTTGTAATGGAATTTCACATTGTTTGTACTGATGATTCAGCGAGGAGAGCGTCTTGCCCATTCAAGGGTTATAAATAAAACATTTTCTAGCTGCTGTTAATGTAACATGAGAAAATATTTTATTACCATGCACAATATCCCACTCCAGTAATGTATGTCGTAATAAGGACTTGATTTAAATGTATTCAAAGAAAATAAAGAACTTGTTGAATTTCCAATTTTAAACACTGTTTAATGGAAAAATGAAAAGCTCCCTGTCAAAAATATAAATACACAGAGTCACTATAATGACAGTACATTATTTCCAGCCTTTGGCGATATGCCTAAACATATACATTCTTGCTAATACACCCACCATGTCAACAGCTTTATACTGCATATGCTTTAAAAAATAGGTGCTCACTGTGTGTGTGTGTGTGTGTGTGTGTGTGTGTGTGTGTGTGTGTGTGTGTGTGTGTGTGTGTGTGTGTGTGTGTGTGTGTGTGTTTTTTTTACAGCGAGAGAGACATAATTCAACTTTCTCATATTCTTGTACACAGAGGGAGGTAGATTGATTCCCTGCCCTGGTGTGAAGCTGATGACTAACAAAACGGCTCTTTTTCTCTCTTGGCATCCGACAGCACCGGGGTGGCTGCGGGCTCTAAAAGCACCGATACACTCTGCGGTTTATTTTTGAACTGTCCAAGGTCATTGTTCACTTTGACAGATCACAAAAGCAAAGGGGGGGGGAATCAGCTCCTCAGACTCCCATTCAACACTAGCGTGATCCGTGTCTTGACCCTCCCATGTGGGGTTATAGTTGACACACATTCTGTACTCTGTATGAGGATGTGTGTATGTTTGTGTGTGGTCTCACTGTACCGTGCTCAGGCTGAGGGGTGGGTGGGGAGGTTTGGGGGGCTTAAGGATGACAAAGTGCAGGCCCTCTTTGATCCTCAGCCCACATACTACGCTGAAGTGCTTTATAGTGAGGGGAATTATCTTTGATGTCCACCTGAGGATCTCACGTGCCAAATGGATCCACATTTCTATCATCCACAGAGGGTCATGATAGCAGCATAAAGTAACATTACATGTGTTGTGATATCTTTAATGTCTGTAGGTTTTCTATACTGTTAGAGTTTTTAGAGAAAGGTGATTACAGACATGTAATTGCCGCAGCAAATTCAATTCATTAATTCATTATTTCATAAGGAGCCCTATTTGACATTTTTTAACACAGGATTTTTTTAACTTTTGTTTTGAGAACAAAATTTAATCCTAGGAAAAAAATGTTTTCTCTCAGTTGAAAGTTGAACAAAGTATGTAATGAGTGAGTCATTGTGAGTCATTTACTATTGACTTATACTAAACAATTTCTGTCTTTGTTTCATGTGAAAGTATTTTCTGTTTTTTAGTTAAAGTTTTTAGTTCTAGTTCAGGTTACATATTGTACAGGTACAGTCATAGTGAAATGTATTTCCGTACATTTATGCATTTGATGCAAAAAAATATTTTAAAAAAGGGAAAAAAAGAAATGTATCTCTAAGATCCTACAATTCGTTCAATAAAAATAGTGTAAATAGAATAGGAATAAAGAATAGAAAATGTAATAAACAATAATGGTTACTTATTATTGCAATGCAGCGATATAATATTTATACAATGAATCACTGGAGACAAAAAAACAACATTTAGTACATTACTAGGAGTAAGAATAGATGTTCTATCAGAGAGTGCATGTGAAGGGCTATGTCTATCAGTCTGTATGTGGAGGTGTGTAAGGGCTGAGAGGGGAGACGGAGAGAGAAAACACAAATGGTCACATAGGAACAATAATACATAACAGTATTTAACGATTTCTTTGGCTCAGTTTTCACAGTTTCAAATTGCAAAACTCATAAAATCTCACACAGCACACAAAATAAAATATCTGAATCTGAACTGAGTGAGTTTATGTTTATCACTGAATTTTAATCATTTAATTTAGAATAAAAGTGCCATTATAAAATAATTATGTGAATACAGTGACTTATTACAGTAACAATTTCTATTCTAGACATCAAACCTTAAATATTATAGTCACTTGTAAGTTTACTGTAATCACCTAAAATACAGTAATGAATGAATGTGAAAAGCATTCTTCTAGAGTCAAACTCTGCAGATACATCATTCAAACAGCACACTGTAGGAACAAGAAGAAACACTGACTTTAAAGAGAAGAATTTAGCAAGTCAGTTTAGCACTTTGAAACTTGAAGCTTGTGAAAACTGAGCCAGCATTTGTTTAAGGCTGAGGGTGGGGTGGATCGCAGGCCAAGTAGGTCTGAGCAAATCATTTCAGTCAGTCCGTAAAAACTGGCATGAATTGTAAAAATATTTAAAATAAAAAAATAGATAATTACTGATACTGTATGATAGTATTTCATCTTACAAGGATTGGTGTAATATACATTTCCTGCCATGCAATTTCTTTTAAACACCAGTGAATAATGTTGTGGCTCATCTGCATCATGGGTGCCGCTTAACTCTAGAGAGAACTGTTGTGGTTCTGAGTTTCCTTGAAGTTCCTCAAACATCAGCTGTAAAGTCCTGCTTTGTCACTGTTCAGTCATTTTGGAGCCAGATGAAGCAGCGTAGTCAGAGGATCTACCCTTTGAAAATGTTTGGCCCGCAGACTGCTGACGGATCCGGCAAATCCTTAACAGACTGAACGTGTTTTTATGAGTCTGTCTGACCACGGTCAGTGTGTAATTAAGAGCTGACTCAACGCAGAACTGTTAATACGAAACAGTAAACTACAGCAAGTAAGCAAAAGCCCTGTAAAACGCTGCTAATTAGGGACTATTAAATGGTTGTGATCTACTTAACTGTGTTCATTAGAAACAAAACAAGCTTTTAGTTATGATTTTCTGTTAAAGGCGAAAACTAAAGGCATTCATATCTTGCATGTGACACAGTCCTCGGTACTGGACTTTTGCCATGGGGATTTTCCATAATGCAGTTCCTTATTTATCTTCCCAGTATCCCACACTAGTGTTGGTTTTGCCCTATCTTTAATTTTAATTCCTAACCCCTGATTAACTCCCTGACCTAGAAAAGAAAAAAAAGACTGGTTTAGAAGAAAATGTCTAAATAATAGTGTCCCATTATCATTTCATGCTAAATGATATGAATGTGTGTTGTATATATGATTATACAGTGCTGTATGTCTGCAGTGTCTTACCTCTGCTCCTCTGTGTGAACATACAGGCTGAGCTGCTGACCGGCTCCTCAGTAACTAACGTGGAGGAAGCACATCGGGCCGGTCTGGAGCTGCTGAAGCGGGGCTGTGGGTCAGTCATCATCACTCTGGGACCCCAAGGCTGCGTGGTGCTCAAGGCACAGGAGTCTGCCTTCAAACATGTTCCAACTGCTGCCATCACAGCAGTGGACACTACGGTAAGCATATACTGGATATGTATTTTTTTAATAGTCATTATATTTCAGTTATTCATTTTATCATTTTAAATGTCAGAAAAAACTCCAAATTATTCAAAATCTACATTTATCATGTTTGGACCAGAGCATGTTTAGCCAAGTTAGCAGCTTCGGCTCTGTTGTTGATTGGGGGGCCAAAATAAAAAAAAAAAAAAAAAAAAAAAAAACTAAACAGGGAAAATCCTGATGTTTCCTATAGCGCCACCATGAGTTTGACATTTGTGTTTTTCAGTGAAATGTCTAAGGTTGGGTTGCCATGAAATTTGACAGACAATGCTGCAATCACTCGATCCATTAGCTTTTCATCTAGGGCCATCATCAAGTTATTTTTTTAAGCACAAATACCACACGATCCCTTGTTTTAGCCTCTTGGTTTTGAGGATTTCTTGTTTTTCTTTCTTATATGACAGTGAATCAGTAATTTCGGGGTTGCTGTTTGAAGATATTGGGCCAGAGGAAATTGTAACAGGCTTTATTATAGACCAAACTACTAATCGATTAATCATGAAAATAATAGCTAGCATTGTTATTGTGTGAATGTTTGCATGCTGACTTTAGCAGTTAGCTCAAACTACCACTGTGCCTAAGTGCAGCCTGCTGTTGTGGCTGTACACTCATAATCATCTTAATTTTATTTATTGATCGTTGACTCTATAAATGTCTGGAAATAGTCAAAATGCCAATCTCAATCTCCCAGAGCCCATGGTGATGTCTTTGTCTTTTGCTTGTTTGGTCCCACCAAGATGCCAAAGCCCAAATGTTTTTCATTTACAGTGATATAAACCACAGACATAAGAAAATTGTCACATTTCAGAAGTTTGAACCAGTTTAGCCACACAAGCAGCATGGCTCTGAGGATGGCAGTCTCAGTCAGTCCATCGCCAACCAACCAATATTTATAATGAAATGAAAGACAAAAAGTAGTAAAAATATATTGTATTTATTTATATATATCTGTGTGTGTGTGTTATAATATTTTTACTATTTCATATTACTTAAATGATATACAAATATAATTATCAAATAGTCGTTATTAATAATAATATATAATAAACATGTATTATTAGTAATAAGGAAGAAATAAGTAAAAAGGAAGATATATTAGTAAAAAGGAAGAAAGTTTTAAATGGTAAATTATGCAAAGCAGCCCACCTGCCACAGTACACACTTAAAATATATCCTTTACAGCAACAACAGCGGAACAGATTATTTCTCACAGGAAATCCTCTGTTCCATAACAAAGTGTTGTCACACGTAACTTTTTATCTGCCCATTCATCGAACCCCTGGCGCTCTGCGCTCTGGCGGAGCTGCTAAGATTCTGTCTGTTGCTCGAGTGGAACGATTTAAGATCAATGGGGATGTGGTGACCACCGGCTGTTTCCCCTCCCTGATTCTAATCTTTTAAAGAGGCCAGCGTCACTTGACTCATTTCACACCGTCCTCTGTGGCTTGTTTTCGTCACAGGAACCCTTTGCTAGATGTTTGCGTTTCCTGTCTATGAGCAGTTTGTGGGGCATGTGTTCAACCAACCAAATACGTCATCGCAGAGGAGTTAATGGTGTTAATCACCTCTTTGTGCGTACCAGGTTTGATTAAACAATTTGAATTGTTTGTGTAATGGGTTCTTCTACTGAATAGTTCCCCTGGGTACTTTTCCAAAGAGTAAAAAATGGAGCATGCGGTCGTAGTTTTACATGAAACCCACAACAGATTGAGAGAAAAGCGAAGAAGAAAGGCAGTACAAGGTGAGTGTTGAGTGTGTTGGGGTGTGTGGCGGAGAGACAGAGACAGCAGTGTTACAGTGTGTTTTCACTCACACTCCAAAGGGAACTGCAGCTGAACTACACAGCCACTCGCTACCCCAGGTCACTTTGGCATTTCAAGAACAAAGGTCTCGCTCTCTTCAACCTCTGTGCGACCTCAGCGGTGCCCCCACATTTCTAAGCAGGCACAAATAACTTACCTTATTCACCAGCTTCAATCTCCCCGCTTCCCAGTAGCCCCTGGGAGAACTCTCTCTCCCCCCCGTTCCCTATTCATCTCCCATGACTCACCTCTTGGGCCTGCATCAGTCAGCAGAAAGCTGTGGTCGGGCCTGCTGCATGTCCCCCCGCTGCACACACACACACTCTCTCACCCCACCCCTTCTGGTCTTTGATGGGCCCATAAATTCAGGAGTGTTTAACTCTTTTGGACATCATAATCCCTCTTCCAGTAAGGCCCTTTCTTTCTTTTACTGGAGAGAGGAAAAAAACAACAGGTTGTTATCAAGATCATTATTCACTTCTCTGAGCCCGTTCTGGTAACACAGGCCTCTTTAGTTATGATTACCTCTTGTGTTATTATAGCTGTGATTGTGTGTGTTTTTTTTTCTCTCTGTAGAAGTAGTGACGGAAATGTTTTTGAAAGATTGGCTCCAAGCTTGTCAGCAGCAGGATTTTGTTCTTGTCGCTTTTCTTGACTCTCTAGATTTACTAGTATCGGACTGTGAGCTGATGCTGCATTCTAGGCTGCGATTCTTCGATATCAACACAGTGAGTCACTTGCGGTTTCTCACTATTTTAGCTAAATAGTTCAGTTGGGCGCCGCGGGTTGCATCACCCACTGCTAATCAGAACGAACACAAATCCAGCTTTTACCCTTCTTTGGATGCATTTCGTCACTTTGTTTCGACTTGTCCCAGATAGAATATTTCTCTTTGATTGATCTAGCCCTGTTAATGCTGTGGCTGCTAAATCATTTAGCTCGCTCCTGACTATAACTATTTCATCATCTGCTCCTCCTGCAACTGTCTGAATAACACATTTCACACAAGCAATTATGGGCTGAGTCAGGGTCGGGAATCTGGATGACAAAGCAAATCCACTCATCTACTGTGGGTCTCCCCCATCCCTCCCCCTTTATCCATTTGTCTCTCTTTTGTCTTAAATTGAGTACAGGCTTCCCTCGCTGAGATCAGAGCCTCGGCTGTTTCATGTGGACACTTAGATGAGACTACACACACATACACACCCAGTGCCTTCTAGCCCCAGCAGGACTTGGGTGGCCTTCGTTTCCACTGCTCCGGGAGGTCCACTGTGTAGGGCGAAAGGTAGACAGTGCTGTCTAAACCAGACATTACAGCTGCACGGTGGGTCTGGACAGTCAAATTATTCCCAGTCTTCTCCTGTGACTGGAGACATGTAAGGACCAATTGCACGATTCCTTCCTGGAAGCCAAAGGTAAGGGAATACCTCCTGAGCACTGCATTCCTCAACCCGGTAAGCTGTGGGTCAGCATGACACCATGAGAAAAACTGCCACATCACCATGTTTTAATGGGCTGCACATGCTGCAGCAGCTGCTGTTCCGCAGCCCAGATGTTAGGCCAGTCCCCTGCCAGTGCAGTCGTGACGATCAGCGTTACACACAAAAGAGTGAAAGAGGGTTAAGACAAAGCACTGCGGATGGATCAAAGTTGTTAGAGCCCTAATTGGTCCAATTAAATGTGTTTCTGATCCCTGAGTCTTCCTCCCTCGTTACTTCTGAGGAGTCGTCCCCGGCTGTTTGCAAGTCTTACTGGAAGCTTCCGGACGTGGAAGCCACTGTGAGTCATCGCTGCCCCTCAGTTGGTCTTTGCTCTCCCCGGGGTGCCTTTCATTGACAAAGGCTGGCGGCCTCAGGAGCTAACGGCGCACAGCCCCATCTGTCATATCAGGGTGGGAGTCAAGATCGCGGGCGGCCTCCGGGTGAGAAGTACAGTCACAGGTTCTGGAGGCTCGAAAGGTTCAGTGTGCACAGCAGACTCTGTAACATGGAAGATCTGCTGTGTGGAGCCCTTTTATGAGATCTGCATTTTCTATAGGTTCTGTTTGTTGTTCGTGTCTGTCGTTGGTGCTCAGCGCTCATTGCTGTGGTGTTTCTGCGCTGCACTTTACAAAGATCACTTGTCAATCAAAGCGTGTGGGCGCTACTGTTGTCTTTGTCCTTGGATTTTCTGTTGATGGACTTCTGAGTTTCTGTATGCGCTCCTTTGTTTGTCTGTACAGCCATGGCGGTTATTGCTGCTTGTTTTAACTATTCAGTTTTTCTTCTATTTATTCTAAACACACAGCACTCATGCTGCTGTCAGAAGCATTAAAAAAGGTCACTTCCCTGGAGTGTTGTCAGTGAAAGCCTACCAGATACTGCAAATGGAAAGCTTTCAGTGGCTATAGGTTTGTCACTGTTGTGTTTAATCAACCGAAGATGACTCATTCTAACGTAATTATAATTGAATCTGTCCTAAATGAGAAAAAAAAGCCTTTTAATAGATTGAATCAAACTGAACCCAAACTATTAAAGTTCCAGGGAGATGTCTAGAAGCAGTTTAATTCCCACAAAGCAAAAGCATCCACTGGCGCTCTGATCGCATGGTTCGCACAGAGTCACACTACAAAGAAACTGAAGAGAACTTCCTAAACCATACTTTGTTAATTTGGTAAGCTTCTCGCAGACACACCTGCCATCCTAATTTCTAACTTCAGTCTGAGTGCCAGAGGAGAGCAGGCCGAGGAACGGCGCGCAGATCAAGACGCGGCGGACGGAGCCGACCAGTAAGAGCATCAAGCCTCATCCGCGGCAAGCACTTGTGTCACTTGATTGACAGGCCTCTAGATCTAACCTTCACCAAACTGTGTCGAGGGCAGCGTTGGCGGGGCTGAAGGGGGTAGCGCTTGTCAGCCTCGTTGAGCTTCATTCACTGGATCCAGTAGCGTCACATGCCAGTCTCAGGGAAGGAGACGTTGTTAGTAAGACAGAGAACGGTTGGACAGTGACCAAAAGTTTACATTGAAACAGTATTGTCTTGTTAGGACTTATTTAGACGTGGACTGGCTTACTAGGAAATGACAAAGAACATCATATGAAAGTTAATTATTTTGCTGATTATATGTCTACTTCAACAGTCCTTATTATATTGTCCCTATTATAATCAATATTCTGGGATTTTTAGAATTAGCTATGGAGCATTTTAACCCATTGTTTTGGTGAACAACTTAGGCTCTCATAAGCATTGTTTCCAGATGCAGGAGTTAGCAACTAGCTGGCGAAAATAGTTGAACATTTAGCAACTATAAAAAAGGAATTTTCTTCTGGAGTTAGTGGAGACTAACCAAACTAAAGAGAGAGTGAATATTGGACTTATATTTATAAGATGGGAAGAACATGACGCCACATTAATATTTTGTATGTTCTGGATTTTGTTCACCGTATTAAGTTATTAGATGTCATTAGATTAGATATCAGTGTTGTGTTGGTCCAAGTAGTAAAAAATAATTTAATGTGAATCATTTGCATTAATTATTCATTCAAGATTACAAATTGCAATTTAGGAATATTAAGGAAATACACAAATTAGACAACAATGTAATACCCGCTGGGCTGCTGTGATTTTGGAGACACTTGCCTCAATCTATACTTTTTTCCAGATCCTTTTCGACCAAACTAGATCACATATTGTACCTCAAAAAGCTGCACATTTTCTGCCTCTTCTCATGGCTTTTTTGAGAGGGAAATGAACACTGAATACTTACATCATATATACATTACATTAATTTTAAAATGGTGGCACTTATTCAGCTGGATGGACATATAATGGTACGGAAGCAGGTAAATAAGAAAACAGATAAAAAGCCATCATAATTTTATTGTTTAATAATTTCGTATAATTAGTTATAATAAATACCTGAATAGCTACTTGATGTTGAAATGTAAATACCACGGAATTTCTAGAATTAAAATACTTTACTTTGAAAGCCATCTATCAAAATGTATTTTATTTGTCCAGAAGGTCTAATGTTTTTTCCAGCCATAAATTCTGATAGAAAATGCTAATATCCATTGTTTTAGATAAAACTACATTTAAAAAGATGACTTAATAAGAATAAAATGTTCAGTTTAGTTTTGGTATTATTTTCATCAATCCAACTTAAAGAATAATTTTTTTTTCTCAATCAATATATATATATATATATATATATATATATATATATATACACACAATATTTTATTTAAGATTGTGAATGTTTTCAAGCTTTTGAAATTGCACAACTTGAGATTACCTTCTGGAGATTTGAAACAGTGAAATTCAGAGAACATACAGTCCTGTTGGTGTTTTTTTAAATGTTTCAGTGCTAATATTTCAGTGATTTCAACATTAAGTATTCAGTAAAGATTGAATGTATCAGTTAGTTATATATCAGTTGCTTCTAAATTTAAAATCTTTACAGCCTTTTTTGGCCTCCATAGTACCGGCCCAGTACAAACACTGATATTGGTGATCTGCAAAATTCAGTCCGGTCATTTAAATAGCTTTTCACCTAAGAAATGGGCTAGGGTTGTATTTGTATAAACATTGCCTAAAAGTAAATACCATCTATGGGTTTTCCCACCCTGAAAAGGATGCATATCTGAGCTTGACTGTTCATGTTAAATTCTATTTTCAGGATGAGATTTGTTCAATTTTAACTGTCAGCACAAAATATTGACTGAAGTTTAGCTTAATACTAGCATTAGTTTTCAGAGACCTGTTTCAGCCTCACCCCCTTGTGGTCTGACTAGACGAAGGTGGTTGTTTTAGCATGGATTTGGTCATAGATTACAATGTAAAAGAAAAAAGGAAGAGGCACGTGCAAAAGGAATGATATATCCCCCTGACTATACAGACCAAAATGTTTTATGTTTTATTTTCTATCCCCCTATCATCTAGTTGTTGAAACTGGCCCCCTCACTGCCCTCTACTCCACTGGCCCTCGGCTCCCAAGCATCAGCCCCTATTCAAGAGTGCTATCATCATTTCAACCGCAACGTGTGAACTGGGAGACAGGCCAGAGTCAAACCAGTGGGACTGCTTCGCCAAAGCCTTATTTCCAAATACTGGCTGTGTTGTAGCCCAGCCCAGCTACCAGACAGGAGACATAAACACGCCATGGCTTTAAACATGGAAATCCACCAGGCCTGTGAAATGTTTGAGCTCTGACCTCACTCTTTCCAGCATCCCTCCAGTCCAGGAGTCACACCAGTGGCATGCACCGGGGTGGGGGAGGGGTGCAGTAATGACCTTTCAAATGTCAAATCAGATTTTTTTATTTATTTTCCTCTATCATCTGATTCATCACAGAATGCTTTAGGTGCCTGCAACACAATTGTGCCCTCCAGCTGCCCCGTCTGCCGTGGACCCTGTTTGGCCCTCCCTGTTCCTACTGCCCTATTGATCACAGGGCACTGCCCCCTCTGCCCGGTCGGGATCAGGGTTAGGGTTTTTGTTTTTTGCCCCATGTCACTGAATCATCCTAACACAACCGACAAAGGGGTTACTTTGAGGTTGAAGGGCGACTGATGTCAGGGAGGGGAGGGGGGGTGGGGTTTTTACAGAGGTGCTCAGAAGAGAGAGTGCAATGAACTCCTTTTGAGAGCCACAGTGATGAGTAATGGAGTGGGCTTGTGAGAACCAGCGTCGGGGGGCCGTTTGTGGTTAAACATGAGCGTGTCGCCACATACCATTGTGCCTTTTCCCATCAGCCTCCCCCCCTTCCCATTCCAGCCAGCCCGCTCCAGGGCGTAGACAGCACATTCCATCTCTATCAATAGATGAGGAGGGAAAATGGGTGATTTATCTGTTTCGAAGATAGCCAAAACCAGAGCTGTTGGCAGTTATGGTGAAGCCGCTGATGAGAGATTAAAGCAGCCATGTGCTACTCAGCTGACTTTGAAAAGCAGCAAACTCAGAGGGGTTTTTTTTTTTTTGTTTTTGTTTTTTCAGTTTTTGATTTGAAAGTTGTTTCAGAAAAAAAAGATCAAATACAAATAATGCTTAATATAATTAGATTATCTTAATTTAATTACAATTTGTGGGATAATACAGTATAATGTCATAGGTAGCAGTCTTTTTCATATACATACATACGTTTTGGACTCTCCTCATAGTATGAAAATTTTTATTTATTTTTAAATATTTAAGGATGACATGTCACCATCATTCAACATTTAACTTGTTTCACTTATTACATCTTATCTATCATTCTGCTGGCGTTACGACAAGGTCTGTGATTATGATTAATGCCCATAATACAGATGTTTCTCTCCAAGAGCTGACAGAGACACACTTTCACACGAGGTAACATTTCAGTAGCTCGTCTGAAAGTGGCCCAGACTTCAGGCAGCAACACAAGACTGACAACAGCTGACAAATGCCACAGCACCCCCTACTGTCAGCAGTTTATTGTATTGCAAAATCAACCATCCCATCTTTTTATATATACCTATTGTAACTATATTTTTCAAAATACAGTGTTAAACAGTGAATACCCGGATTTTCTGTTGCCCCTCACATACACTGGATTTTTTGATTCTGCTGAGCTCGGCTGTAGAATTACACAGTAGACACCACAGGGGAAATTTAATAACGCATTGTTGTAATATTGTTTCTTCCCAGGGTGCTGGAGACAGCTTTATTGGAGCCCTGGCCTTTTACATGGCTCATTATCCCACAATGCCTCTGGAAAAGATGGCCCGCAGAGCCAATCAGGTGGCAGCAGTGAGCGTGCAGGCCGTCGGCACGCAGAAGTCTTACCCCGTCAGAAAGGACCTACCGGCTGAACTGTTCTGAGAGCAGCAAGTACACACCAGTGTGAATGGACCAAGTCTTACCGACCTGGGAATCAAACTATTAAAAAGGATCTGCTCTTGAGAAATCCAAGAATGAACAATATTGTGAAATTGAGGATTGTTAATGATGCAACTAATGTTACTTTAATGTAAAACTGAACAGTCAACTGTTAATGTAACGGTTTTGTGAATAGTACCTGCAAAAGACAATTGATTTTATAAAACCTCTGATCTAACTACTTTTGAACTATTTAATAATTGACAAGCATCTTAATGCTTAGCTTGCATAGTGCATAATTTACTTTAATTTATTTAATTACCCCAAATACATCATATTTCACAAATGGTAGGTGTCACAAAGTAACTGTTTTGTATACAATGTACAACATTTGACAGAATCGTAATCATTAATACGATGTAGAACTGTTTAATAGTATTAGTAACATCAAGACAGCTGTTGTGCCCCCAATAAATTCATCACTTTATCACACGATGAGTGGTATTTTGTTTACAGTGGCGGGAGTCGAGTTTCTTCAGTATCGGTCGGGGTTGCATCACGCTGAACTGCTGCTGAGGAGAGAGTAGAGGCCTTCTGACAGATCCAAGGAGAAATCCTCTGAAAACGTGTCAGCAAGCCCAACAGAAATGTTGACTGACGAAACACCTTGTATAATCCATGGCAATAAAAATAGTCTGTTTAAACCTGGCAGGTTTATGTTGTCCATAGATTTTGGTGCACTGTCAGATGGATCTGATCTTCTTCTTCTCCAAGAACAGGACGTGTTTGTTCACTGCAGAGACAGAAAGCAGATTGGAAATAGAAGTCACAAAAAGAGAGCTTTTGTCATATAAACAATGCAGTGGAGAATAGGTGGCACAATAGGAGCTTGAGCTTGTAGCTGATATGGATTCAGACAGTGAACTGCGCTCACCCACTTGTAACTCATTTGTATGACTCTGCTAGAAATACATTAACCACTGGGATCAATATATTTACATATATACAAATACAGCCCCAATAAACATTTCTCATTCTTTTAACTGTTTAAATACATTACAGTGCATCATGACAACAGTCTTATGGGGTAAGAATAAATACATATATATACTTAAATACAAAACTATCACATCTAGTTATCTACTTTAATGGTTTCCTCCCCAGAACCTAAACGTAAGGCACAATATGAATCCACATAAAGCAGTTTCCACATGATAGCCTGAATGCAGAGATTTCCAATGTCAGCTTGTTTTCTGTTACAATTAAATTGAACTATTTCTCATCTAAGCAAACTAGTAGTCTCTCCAGAATACTAGCCCGCCTTTAAGGTTTCTTAACATGGTCGTTTTTGCTTTTTGTCCCAACAGCTGATTCCTTAGAAATGAGGTGGAATGAAACAGCATCCTGCTACAATGCAAACACAGACGTGTGCTTTTGTTGCCAAGTGGCAGCTTTGAAAGGCTTGTTCCAACACCTTCACAACCTGGAAAAGTCAGCCTAAAAATGGCGTTGTCCTTTCATTTGTTCCAGGACAGACTCGTGCTCACTGGAGGAGAGCAGAACACGAGCAGCTGTCAGTCACAGCTTACCAAATGGATCATGTCTGCGCATCACCAGTTTGTCTCTGAGACGGTTCCTCTTTGTGTTGAAGAAGTAGCCCGTCCCTGCAGCGCTCACCATCTGCACCAGGACGGTCCTGATGGAAGAGGACATTAGTGGACACTAGTGGACATTACAGAGGACATTACAGAGGACACTAGTGGACATTACAGAGGACATTACAGAGGACACTAGTGGACATTACAGAGGACACTAGTGGACATTACAGAGGACACTAGTGGACATTACAGTGGACATTACAGTGGACATTACAGAGGACACTAGTGGACATTACAGTGGCTGCAGCACTGCCTGCAGACAGCACCTGTTATCGTCTCGCTGGGCTCAACCTTTCTGTTTCACTCATTCCAGTGACTTCCACTTACTTTGATTTTGCCTTGGCCACTGAGAAACGGAAAAGAGCAGAGGATGTGAATTAGAGTCAGCGGATTAACAAAATAAATGTTTAACCAACTCACTAAATAAATCTAACAGTTAGTTAGCCACTAGCTAAAGCTAACCGCTAAATACACAACAATAAAAGCTAAACGCGACAACATTTGAAACACAAACATACTGATAGGCAGTCAATGACAGCTACCTGTAAACAGTTAGTTAACGTTAGTTAACGTAGTTAGTTAGTTACAGATAGCCACGTTGGGTAAGTTAGTGTTAGAGAACTGACAGCTAGCCGAGCTAAGCTAAAGCTAATGCTAGCTAGCTACGTTTGAGACAACCGTGCACGTGCATGTGCCCGACTATTTAAATAGCTGCACATGGAGATTAAAGTACTCACAGTTGACGGTGGTGAGAAACATTCTGTAGACTTTAAATCAAAACCTGAAGGAAGTATTAAAGCATCAGAGTTCTAGCCAAGGTAAGTCACATTGAGAACTCCGGACGTCCGGTTTAACAAGCACTTCCGGGTCCTCTTAAAGGTGGGCAGCGCAGGCGCAGTGATACATTGAGCAATAAACGGCCAGTTTACACACACACACACACACACACACACACACACACACACACACACACACACACACACACACACACACACACACACTGAGTGAAAATGACCCTACATCTGAATCTAGCAGGGTGATTATATTTCAATCAACCTTCAGCTTTTTGATCCTCTCTGAAAGCACAGAGCAGATGGTTGCCACACACTACACTGAAATAGATATTTATTCATCAGAACATGATACTGGTACAAGGAAGCTGTTGTTTGACAGTTGTTGATGAGGCAAAGCAAAAATGCTAAACAAAATGATAAGTGATTCAGGGGCCAACCAGAAGGAGACAAATGGACAAACAGTCTGTGTACGGAGTACGGGCAAAAAGGCAAACAGGAAATTCATTTTGATGTCATAGGAATGTGAACAATATATGAGCAATCATTTCCTGAAGTAAGATTTCTACATAAGGTAGATGATGATGCAGGTTTTTCTTGGTTTTTCCTGTCTAATAATATATACATTCAGACAGTTTTATCAGTAACCTAACACACAACAGTACATTGGGTGAAGACAGGTTAACTAGATGGATATAGGTGATTACAGACATGTCTGTTTCTTTTAGGTGTTCTTTGCCGGCTGCACCAAACAAACCCTTTTCCACACAATGCATTCGTCACTTATTTGTATAGGAAATACAGATATTCTTGTATAGAAGTTGGCTGTTTTTAAGAGTAGGTGGACTTCAGGACTGCACATGATCACGTTAGTTCTCAGGGATACAGTAGGCTTAGAGATATGGAACTGTCACATGCAGAAGGACAAGTAAGGTGTCTTAATTCAGGTGAAATGGTCATGAAACAATGGAAAAGTATTTCCCCCATAGCACAAAGACACCATCAGTACATGAATTAGGCCTGTACTGCACGTTGAACTTCAGCTAAACAGTTAAAGTTGGGTATAGTTTTCTCTTGTCTGGCTTGTTTACCTTTGTAAGAAAAATTAGCAAGATTTCTGGGTAGGGGCCATAGAGTTGTTATTGCTCTAGAGAAATATTGATGGGATGGCATGGCAATTATAAGGGGTGGCTGATTGCTAATTAAATCACAAACAATATATTGATATTTGCTTGGGAAAAAAAGCCTCAAATGAAGATATTTGAACTCTAAAAGATTACATTAATGTTGCACATTAGTAAAGCACTGAATAGAATTATCTAAAGGTGGAATTAGAAATTAATACATTGTATTAATCTTCAGGCATTTTTCCAAATAAATGCGTTTTTTCATTGGACCATAACAGATCATTAAATTCATTTCCATTTTTTAACACTTTTTCAATTAATGTTTTAAATTGGACAGCATTGGACACCAAACCGGGGTGGCCAGGCATGTTTTATGCCATGCCACCACTCTAGATTCGCCCCTGTCAGGAATGAATTCACCATCCCACAATGAGTGGTCTGATTGAAGAGCTGAATCATCCGCTAAGGCTCTTTTTGCAAAGGAATATTGAATTAGGCACTTGACTTTAGGTGAATTGAATAAATTCTATGTCAAAAGAACCAGTGCAGGCCAGCATAGACGCTGACAGGAGCAATTGGTGTGACAGCTGAGCAGTTTAGGCTAATGTTGAAGGGCGAGAAATTAGCCTAAATTTACATCCTTTCCGAGTCTTCAGTAAAATAGTCAATGCTTGCTTTTGCTCCTGGTCCTTGTGAATAGCTTGGAGTCCTTACAGGTTGTGTGTGTTTCAACACTAAAGGCACTTCAGGCCCGGGCTGTAAGCATGAAGAAGAATACTATGATGATTGAGATTAAGAGTGGAGGAGGAGGAGGAGGAGGGTTTTTTTTCTTGTACAGACAGTGCCTGTTGAATAGTCTGTTATGTCTCACAGACTGTGGAGTGTCTTCATTTTTATCCTGTCCATGTCTAAACAAACCTTATCGGTCTCTAGAATCTTCCAGTTCATGTTCGTTGTGTTGTTGGGGTTTTTTTTACAGTGAGACATTGGCAGTTGCCATGAGAGCAAATGAGCATCTGTTAAGAATGTCTGACCAAGATGTGGATGGATGTGGTCATGTAATCATTTTCCTTTTGATATCTATTTTGGTAATTCCAACCTAAATCTGTTATTTACTTCTAAAACAATGATGCACATCTCCATGTGCTGCAGCTTTTTTATATATATATATATATAGTTGACTTAATTCATTTAACTTCAGCTTAATTCATTTATATTTAGTCCTGTAAATAATTGAAGCCATCATAATTACATGATAAAAAGATACAATGTTACTTGTTGCTGGTCATCATATCTCTGGCCTCAGGGAAGCAACTCATATTTCATGAATGGGCTGTAAGGAAAACTCCGGAATGTCCCAAAACCTTAGTGAAAGCCTTTTTTTCCCTCAAAGTATGGAGGCAGATGAATGGGTTGGATACCAATAATGTCACCATGGAAGTCCCCTTAACTCCTCACTACGTAGTAACTTAATAGCCTTTTGTGGCCTTTTGT